AAAATAAATTTTGAAACTCTTGAAAAATCGCTAAACTGCGTTCAACTCCCTTCAACTCCCCGCTTAAAGTTTGAAAGAACTCGCGCAAGTCCGAGAGAAATGTGCTCGGCACACGTCGGCATGTAGTCGGACTTTAAAACGACACTTGTGATTTTCAAAGCGTGCTATGTACATAGGGGAAAGTGGTAGAGTAGCGGTCCAACATAATTGTATTTCAATGAAAGCATTAATAAAATTGTAAAAAAAACAAGGCCCGCGGGAATGAAATCAGCTGTAGGTAGGGAGCGCGGGAGGGACCAAATAAGTGCCGAGCGGAGGAGGGGGGGATGCTGAGCAGCGGGGGGGGGGATGAAAAGTGTCGGGAGGAAGATCTGCGTGCCTCCGCGAAGACGCAAGATCGAGTGAAGGGCGGACTCCTTCTGGATGTTGTAGTCGCTGAGGACCGGGGGATGCTGAGCAGTGGGGGGGGGGGGGGGGGATGAAAAGCGTCGGGAGGAAGATCTGCGTGCCTCCGTGAAGACGCAAGATCGAGTGAAGGGCGGACTCCTTCTGGATGTTGTAGTCGCTGAGAGTACAGCCATCTTCGAGCTGCTTTCCAGCGAAGGCGAGACACTGCTGGTCAGTTGGGATGCCCTCCTTGTCCTGGATCTTCGCCTTCACGTTGTCGATGGTGTCCGATGACTCCATCTCCAACGTGAGGGTGCCTCCGTAGAGACAGATAAGGATGCGGGAGGTGGACAGGCCGTTTGCCGGTAAGGGCGAGGCGCCGCTGGTCAGGTGGGATCTGTGTGGGATCCGGATTATAATAGATTTCCTATCAAATAAAAGTAAATGTTAGTTAACTACACACAAAAATGACTTACCTTGGGTGGATGGCACCCGAAAATTTGATGGTGGCCTTCTCAGCGCTGTGGATGGGCATCGAGGTTCGTAGGGTGAGGTCGACAACGACAACGACAACGGCGTGCTCAGTGCAAGACGAAGCCTCGGAACTTTCCGAGATTTCAAACTCCGCTGAAAACTGCGTCACATATACACGCAGATAGGAGTTTTGATCCCACACGCACCATAGCCCCCCACCATAACTATGCCTCGTCCATCCACTCGTAAAGAGCTCCTGAATACCGTGGATCAGGCCGAACTTTCTTTGGCCAGGTTACGATACCAGGATATCCTAGAGGACTGGTCAGACTTTGAGAGCGATTCCAGCTCCGAGGACTCGCTTTCTACTACTCCTTCAGACGATGATGTTTCAATCAGTCTGTCTTTAAGATCTCCTTCCCCCATGTCCCCCGACTCCCCTATCACAGCGACTTCAGCGACTTCAGATTCTTCTGATACCAGTTCTGTATCTTCTGATGACGTCGCTTTGCCTTACGACAGGCTCCAAGACACCATCAATGCTCTTCGTGATGAGGTTATGAGGGCTCGTGTACTCCACAAGCCTGACGAGCCTCCTCCACGAGCATCTCAACTCCACATGCTGGTTCACCACGAGGAACACCGCCCTCACTTGTTTCGGCAGAAACTTCGTGTCAACCCGGAGATCTTCGATGACATCCTCGATCATATATCTAATCACCCTATCTTCCAGAACCAGTCCAACAATCCTCAGCTCCCTGTCTCCATCCAGCTCGCCATCTTTCTGAATCGGGCAGGCCACTATGGCAATTCCATTTCTCTCGAGGATGTCGCTCAATGGGCAGGCGTGAGTGTCGGGTCCGTAGTTAATTGCACTAATCGTGTGATGATTGCGGTGCTTGATGCCCATGATCAGTTTATCTGCTTCCCAGCAGGTAATTCTGAGGACGCTGACCTGGCTCGCAAATTTGCCGAGTCACGTACTTGTCCAGAGTGGAAAGGTGGCTTTCTAGCCATCGATGGTTCGACTATGAATCTGTTCACGAAACCTGGTTATTACGGTGAGACATTTTATGATAGGAAGTCCAATTATTCCCTTGGCTGTCAGGTAACATTTTTGTTCTTCGTCTTCATGTGCAAAAATTAATTTAATTCTAGGCAGTCATCCTGCCCCATAACCTCCTGATTGTTGATTACTCTCTTGGTCATCCCGGGAGTGTCCATGATGCATTCGCTTTTCGATCCACTCGCCTCTATGACGAGCACGCTGATCTTCTGCCTGATGGTCATTGGGTTTGGGCAGACAGCGCTTACCCATTGGAACCATGGTGTATCGCCCCTTTCAAGAGGCCTCGCAACGGACGGCTGACAAGGGACCAGAAGACATTCAATTATCACCTCTCTAAGGTATGTTTTTTTTTTTAGTGCTTTTCAATTGATTTTTATTTATGTAGATTCGTGTTCGTGTTGAACACACATTTGCTGTTTTGAAGGGACGGTTCCAGTCCCTTCGAGAGCTACGGTTCAGAATTCAGGCTGAGAAAGACCTCGAGTTTGCTGTGCAGTGGATCAAGTGTTGCATCATCCTGCACAACATGATCATTCGCTTTGAAATCGAGCATCGCAAGGAGGACGGAACATACGAGAGCTCTCTAAAGTGGGCTCGCACGGAGGGGGAAGATTTCATTGATCAAGAGATTGAGGGTCCAGAAGGTGAAGAAGTAGTTGGTGACAGGACATATGATGGCACTCCTGGTCAAGCTGCTCGTGCAAAGTTGATGGATGAGCTCTTTAACAGTCCTCACTCAGATGCACACCATAGGGAAGGATGATCAATGCTTTTGAACATGTAATACTACTAACAGACTTGTACAACAAATGTATATAGCTATGTACTCAATCACAGAAGGTAGCAACAAAACTGAAAACACATAAGTCCAATGGAAACAACAACAGCAAATAAGATGATGAGACGACGACGAGAACGAGAACGAGAATGAGATGATGACGAGAATGAGACGGCAACGGCAACGAGACAACGACGACGAGAGCTCACTCAACTCCATCTGATGCTGGGCCCTTGCTCGCCTGCATCATTTGCTGAAACTGGATCTTGAGTCGAAGAGTCTCCGCCTCCTTGTCGAGCACCAAGGAATGCGCTTCGTAGACTCGGATGTCGGCCTCGCGAAGGCGGATGTCGCTATCCTTCGACTCCTGCAGACGCTGATGGCTGACAGTAGCCTGGAAGGTCTCGTGCTCGCGCGTGGCGCGAAGCCACTCGTACTTCTTGATGTCGCGGGTGTGTTCTGTCTTCGCCTCGAGCTTCGCGAGATAGCGTTGGTGTTTGTGGTCGTGGCGCGACATCGCATCAGATTGCATGGACGCGATCTCATCCCTCACCTCCTCAACCTGCTGCATCACATCCGACTTGGCCTTTTTCTTCTTCGAGCCGCCGGCGCTATGTGGAAGCGAAGTCTGGGGGGTCGAGGACATCAGGTAGTCCGACGACGGGGTAGTATTGCGTGTCGTGGACGAAGGTGCTGACGTGCTGATAGAGATCTCCAATGGCAGCCTGCGGTGTCTACCGCGGCTCGGTGGCTTCTTCAGGCCAAATGCCGAGCGGCTGTTGTAGACAGATGATGGGGACGCTGCTGGCATAGCGAAAGGTTCGGGAGCATCGGGAGGGGGAGACGGCGACGAAGGAAGTTGTCGCTTCTTCCCAGCGACTTTGGAAGAGCTATCGGCCCTCTCATCACCTTCAAGGGGGGCATCCAATGGGCCACCGGTGCCTTGAAAGTCCATGTCCATGTCGTCGTCTGATGTTGGAAGGCCAGGGAGATGGAATTGAGAAGACTGATTGTAGGGGGCAGCGGAGGGTAAGGGGACAGCGGAGGGCAAGGGGGCAGCGGAGGGTAAGGGGGCAGCGGAGGGCAAAGGGCCAGTGGAGGGCAAAGGGCCAGCGGAGGGCAAAGGGGCAGTGGAGGGTAATGCGGGAGCAGGAGCAGGATGTTGCAGTGTTGGATCGATGGAGGGATCACCATGTGAACCCCCAGCATAAGGCATTGCTGGGGGATAGTAGTGCTGGCCATAATGCGAGGGTGGAGTGCTGGAAGGATGGATATCGGGCGGGGGATATTGAGGAGGCGGTTGAGGGTACTGCATGGGACCAGCGCTGGTATCAATGTGCATGGGGGGACCGGCGCTGGTATCAATGTGCATGGGGGGACCGGCGCTGGTGTCAAGTTGCATGGGGGTACCAGCCCCAGCATGTCGTCCAACCAAGGAATATAACGCGCCGGCGTGATCGACGCCAGGTCTTGATGAGTGAGTCTTCGCGGCCATGGACGGATTGGAATGCCAAATGGCATCCAGTTCCGTATACCATGGGAGCTCTAAGAGCGCTGCATCTACGAAACACATCAGCTAAGGACCAGAAAATAAGGAACGAGGACTCACCCAAAAGATTTTTCGTTTGCGTGCCTTCACCAGGCATCACACCAGCGCCAGTACTGTCAAAAGATGCCTTGAGTTTCTTGTATTTCCCCCTAAGTCTACATAAATTTCAGTATTTTTTGTAACGGAAGAAAAAACGGGAACGACTCACGTTTGGATGCGGTTGCAGACTCCGTCACGAAACTTCTTTGCGTTGGTGGCGAACGCGTAACCGTACCTCGGGTGGTCAGTGAAAATAAGTTTGGCCAGGGTACCATACACCTGCCCCTTGTCCGAGCCCGAGGCACCATCATCAACGGCAGCCATCGCTTTCTTGCCGTCAGAGTAGAAAAGTACTCTGCAATCGGCGGGGTGCGTGGAGAGATGGTTGACGAGGATGTCGGTAAGAGCACAGTCGCTCTGCCACTGGATAGTCAGGCGGGGTACATGCTGTTCTGGAGGGGGTTTGGCTGGTCCGCGAGTGTTTGGACCTTCGTCGTCCATCGACCTGGAGCAACGCACTAGAGGGTTAGCTTTCAAGCGTGCAGAACGGCGTACACGTTGGCGAGAAGGAGGCATGGTTGTTTGAAACTCCGCCAGCGATGCCGGCCTGACCTTCAATCGCAGTCCCAGCGGCCGAAGTGTTGGAAGCCGCTTAGCCACGAGTTGAAAGCCTTAGTCAGAGTTCAGCGAGCTTTCAAACATTTCTAATTTTTATTTTGAGTACCACTAGAATATACTTTTTCCCAGTCTCTGCATACCAATGTGTCTCCCACTCTGTCCTTCTCATGATCAACGCTCATGAAGTCTCCCATTTCCAGTGTATATGCGGCCTCACACATCAAAGTCTGCCGAAGATAATTGAAACAGTGGTTTATGTGATGGAATGAGGCTTCAGGATCGTTACCGCCGAGGAGAGCTAGCTCGAGCATCCATAGACAATGGTGCTGATGCTGGAAAACCATCACGAAAACTCGGTGCTGTGGTCCTAGACGTGTGCGACCAAAGCCTTTTGGCCATGTCGGAAGGTTCTCCCACTCCAGACGAGCCTCCGCGTCAGATGCATTAAGTGAAAAATGCACACTCTCGTGAAGAGTCATTGCGACGGCTTCATGCGCGAGGTCGACAGGAAATTCCCATGGGTAATCTTCGTCAGCATAAGTGTATTCTATCAATTCTAAGACGCCCAGGTCAGCACATTCTCACACCTACGCGTATGAGGAAGTACTTACGATCATGTTGTGCTGGCTGCAGTTGGATGCGAGCGTGCCACACGGTGACAAGCACGCTAAGCATCCCGAACGCCCATCCAACTACTAGTTCTCTGCGAGAAATCATGAGCACCTTTTCAATGCCTCCAATGATTGATCACTTTCAAGGCTATCAACCAACTATCCAGAAACCTGCTGATCCGACTCGGAGGCATTGAGCACTGCCAAATTCCAATGCGTTAAACTGGTTGACCCTAGACTAAGAATATCTCGGAGTCGCAACGGAGCCGTGATCGCTCTGTGATTTCATCCGATTCACTGGTCTGTCCATTCGTTTTTTAGCCGATCTAGATGCTACCTCAACTCGGTCCTCGAGCTTATCGTTCAGGTGATCACAATAAGTATGTGACATAGTACACGCATCCTTGGACTGGATATTGGCGCCGCACGGCCAGCCTTGGCATAGGCTGATGCGCCCATGGAATTTATTGATGTCCACAGATAACGAACTGCCTTTCATATTACAGCCTCACCATGAGTTCCGTATTACGTCACGTCAACGCACCTGCTGTGATCTCAATCATATCATAGTCCTGAAAGGTCTACAGCAACCCCGGTGTTTCGTTCTGGTGTCAATATACAGGCGAGTACCATGTAGCCGTTATTGAATTGATATTCATGTTTGATCAATGGTCTATCAATGGATCAATACCTCAACACCGAAAAGTACGCTGGAGCCCAGAAATAAATTACAGGGGACATGGTTTGGTTGGTTTGTGTGATGTACTGCCAATGGTTAATGGTCGTGAGTGCACGGCGTCTTCACGCGCGCAGAAATTGAGCGCCGAATCAAGTATCGACAAGAGCATACAGCGGGATGCATTTTATCGCTCATATTTCTCGTTTGACTGTTGGACATGACATTCAGTGACCATATGCATAGTTGTTTGCAACACCCACTAGTACTGATCGAAACAACATTTAATACCGATTGTACAGTGCCTGAGAGCAATTTGTTCCAAGACCAAAGACCAATTTACATAGAAAGCCACTTGCAAGTTATCAACAAAGCATCGGAGAGAGTCAAGATTCAGTTATTTTTCACAGACGGTTTCGGAGACACCTGATACAAGCGAGCATTTCACACCCTCTACACCGCTAATAGATGTCAGATCAGAAAGTATGCCGACGCAAGCAAGGCGACGCAAATGACTTACGAAGAGGTATAGTGGAAAAATCATCTCGCAGGCCTCGCAATGTCCGCCCCCGCTCCGGAACGTCCAGTCTGTGTGGTCACAATCGTGATCCACTCTGAGACGCTCCATGGTCTCCCTTATCAAACGACGCTGTGTAGCCGCTCTGAGATCCTCTAGCATCTCCCGTATAAACGGTCTGACAGCGCTCCCATCCAATGCAGGCTCCACTCTCACGTGCCATTCTGGAACCTCTGACTCGTCTGTGAGCCGTTCTGGGGTCCAGTTCGTGAAAAATCCTGAAATGCGATTATATGTCTCAACACGGCGAGTCCCCGTCAGGAAATGGGGTTCTGGAAGAGGTGCTGGTGCTGGTGCCCCGGGACGGAGAATCGTGGGGCGCAATGGAACAGGAAGAAGAGGTGCTGGGGCAAATACCTCGGCACGGCGAGCCGTTGGCCAGATATTGGCAACTGGTTCTGCTCCGAGTGCTGGCGCAGGGACCAGTTGAAAAGGATTTTCAAAGGGGATATTGGCAACTGGTGCTGCTCCGAGTGCTGGCGCAGGGACCACTTGAAAAGGATTTTCAAAGCGGACATTGGCAACTGGCGCTGGCGCAGGTGCCGGTCTGGGTAAATTAACAGGCTGATTCCTGACATCACCAACAGCTGGCACTGGTTGGCGCACTGCAGGTGCCTGTTGGAGAGGATTAGCAGGCTGCGCGGGCGGAAGCTGAGCATCCACGCGACGCTCTGCAGCAGCAAGCAGTCTGTCCTCGTCCCACTGCGGACACCTGCAGTTCTTCCAGAGTTCTTTGCACAGATAACAGAATTCTGTCCTGCATCGGCAGGTCATGTGGAAACACCCCATACTAAGCTCTATCATCTGAGCACAGCCCGGACAGCGTGCCCACCCCGAGGTGCGGCTTAGCGCGAGTACTTGCTCATCCTCTGCATCAGGAGTGCAGATATGAGTGAATCCTTCGTGTCTGCTGCGACATTTTGCACATGTCTTCGTCATGCAGGTAGGTGACGTGCATGTAAATGCCTTAGTGAAATACCCATACCCCTCATGTAATGGCCCGAGGAAACGACTGCACGTTGGTGCAACACAATAAACGCGCTTCGTGGTCCCAAATTCTTGAGCTTTGAGCTCAAACTCAGCGAGGACTGCCTGCGTCAGGTGAGGCCGAACTTGTAGAAGGGTGATGTTCTGGCGACAGCAACGAGGAGGATACAGGCTCTCGTCGCGTGTTGCTGACTGGAATAGGTCGGTAATGCAACCGATATCATAAAAATGGCCACATGATGCTCGAACTTCTGCTCCAAAGATAGGATCCTGACAGATCACACAGTCGTGACCGGTAGCCCTTGTTATGATAGTTGCAGTAACAATATCATAGGTAGTAATATGTCTCACCGAGGAGGAGCCGGCCTAGTCATAATGGTGGGCGCTTGAGCTGGATTTGGTGACCTGCTTATCAGTGTCAGCTTTGGTGGATTCCGCAGTAGTATGGGTCCTTACATAGGCGCGGGATCAGGTTCTCCACTTTCTCCTTGAAGTTGCTGGGCAAGTGCCCGATCAGCGTTGAACTCCGCAAGATCTCGAGCGTCCTGCATCAACAATGCGAAAGCAACATCATAGTCACTGAGACGCTCTCCTCGATGCACACAGTTATCGTATAAAGCCTGCCACCTCTCCACGTCAGAAGGCTCAAGTCGAGCGATCATACGGGTAAGATCCTCCTCATAGTTGTTTCTTTCTCTTGGACCAGGGACCAGACGTGGTCGTGAGGGACCAGCGATGTTCATGGCGGCAAGCAAGAGGTGTGCGACTCGGAAACCGGAGTTTAGCATACGTCTATGCCTACCGTGACAGCGTTATGATAGTGGCGTGAGCGATCAATGTAATTAAGCCATATACAGAGCCAGTGTATTGACAAAGCATGGGCGGGAGAGGAATGAGTTGGACGGGTGGCCAGTCGGTCTATGAGGTAGGGCCTGACATAGGTCGACCCGGGTCATGCCCGGGTCATACCCGCGGGTAAGATGGGCTATGGGGCCATGACCGTACCCGTCCCGGGTCAAGTGCATCAGCAAACCCAGGGGCCTCTGTACAACCCTGGACAGCGCTGGACAGAGCCACAGAGCCCACAGAGAGGGTTCCCTCTGTGCAGCTCTGTACAATGTCATACCGCACTGTACAGAGTTGTACAGAGCATTGAGTAGGCCAGACAGGAATACCATAGAATACTCACAGAGCCTTACAGAGCATTACACTGTGGATAGTAAAATCAATTACTTAATTTCAATGTGTTTGTCATGGGACGCGGTAATGGTGGTCAAGGTTTTTTCAGTGACTTTGGAATGAGTACACTGAAATGTCATTGACTTTGTCGGGAGTCACTAGAAGCTACATAACACGTGATCGGCTTAGTAAAATAGTACAACCCCGGTATTTCGTTCTGGTGTCAATATACAGGCGAGTACCATGTAGCCTTTATTGAATTGATATTCATGTTTGATCAATGGTCTATCAATGGATCAATATCTCAACACCCAAAAGCACGCTGGAGCCCAGAAATAAATTACAGGGGACATGGTTTGGTTGGTCTGTGTGATGTACTACCAATGATTGATATAATGGTCGTGAGTGCACGGCGTCTTCACGCGCGCAGAAACTGAGCGCCGAATCAAGTATCGACAAGAGCATACAGCGGGATGCATTTTATCGCTCATATATCTCGTTTGACTTTTGGACATGACATTCAGTGACTATACTACAGCACCATAGTTGTTTGCAACACCCACTAGTACTGATCTAAACAACATTTACTACCGATGGTACATGAGACCACAGGCTAAGGGAGATAGTCGTACCATGTTGTACCATCTATACTACAGATTGTACAGTGCCTGAGAGCAATTTATTCCAAATCCAAAGTTCAATTTACATGGAAAGCCACTTGTGAGTTATCAGCAAAGCATCGGAGAGTTAAGATTCAGTCATTTTTCACAGACGGTTTCGGCGACACCTGTTACAAGCGAGCATTTCACACCCTCTACACCGCTAATAGACGTCAGATCAGAAAGTGTGCCGACGTAAGCAAGGCGACGCAAACGACTTACGAAGAGGTATAGTGGGAGATGCGTCTCGCAGGCCTCGCAACGTCCGCCCCCGATCCGGAACGTCCAGTTTGTGTGGTCACAATCGTGATCCACTCTGAGACGCTCCATGGTCTCCCTTATCATACGCTGTCTGACAGCGTTCCGATCCGAGCCTGGCGAGGCTGCAGTAGCCGCGGACTCCACTCTTGCGTGCCATTCTGGAACCTCTGGCTCGTTCCTCAACCATTCTGGAACCTCTGACTCGCTCGTGAGCCATTCTGGAACCTCTGACTCGTTCCTCAACCATTCTGGAACCTCTGACTCGTTCCTCAACCATTCTGGAACCTCTGACTCGTTCCTCAACCATTCTGGAACCTCTGACTCGCTCGTGAGCCATTCTGGAACCTCTGGCTCGTCCGTGAGCCATTCTGGAACCTCTGACTCATCCGTGAGCCATTCTGGAGCCTCTGGCTCGTCCGTGAGCCATTCTGGAGCCTCTGACTCGTCCGTGAGCCATTCTGGAACCTCTGGCTCGTCTGTGGGCCATTCTGGAACCTCTGGCTCGTCCGTGAGCCATTCTGGAATCTCTGAGCCGTTCGTGAACCATTCCGAAACGCGATCATTCGTCTCAGCACGGCGAGTCCCCGACACAAAATGGGGTGCTGGAAGAGGTGCTGGTACTGGTGCCTCGGGACGGAGAATCGTGGGGCGTAATGGAACAGGAAGAGGTGCTGCTCCGGGTGCTGGCGCAGGGACCTGTTGAAAAGGATTTGCAGGGCGGATATTTGCGACTGGCGCTGGTACGAGCGCTGGCACAGGTGCCTGTCTGGGTAAATAAACAGGCTGATTCCTGACATCACCAACAGCTGGCACTGGTTGGCGCACTGCAGGTGCCTGTCGGAAAGGATTAGCAGGCTGCGCGGGCGGCAGCTGAGCATCCACGCGACGCTCTGCAGTAGCGAGCAGCCTGGCCTCGTCCCACTGCGGGCACCCGCAGTTCTTCCAAAGTTCTTTGCACAGATAGCAGAACTCCGTCCTGCATCGGCAGGTCATGTGGAAACACCCCATGTCAAGCTCGATCATCTGAGCACAACCTGGACAGCGTGCCCACCCCGATGTGCGGCTTAGCGTGAGTATTTGCTCAGCATCTGCATCAGGAGTGCAGATATGAGTAAATCCTTCGTGTCTACTGCAACATTTTCCACATGTCGTCATGGTGCAGGTAGGTGACGTGCATGTAAAGACCTTGGTGAAATAACCCTCATGCAATGGCCCGAGGAAACGACTGCACGTTGGTGCAACACAATAAACGCGCTTCATGGTCCCAAATTCTTGAGCTTTGAGCTCGAACTCAGCGAGGACTGCCTGTGTCAGGTGAGGCCGAACTTGTGGGAGGGTGATGTTCTGGCGACAGCATCGAGGAGGATACAGGCTCTCGTCGCGTGTTGCTGACTGGAACAAGTCGGTAATGCAACCGATATCATAAAAATGACCACATGGTGCTCGAACTTCTGCTCCGAAGATAGGATCCTGACAGATCACACAGTCGTGACCGGTAGCCCTTGGTATGATAGTTGCAGTAACAATATCAAAGGTAGTAACATGTCTCACCGAGGAGGAGCCGGCCTAGTCATAATGGTGGCAGCTTGAGCTGGATTTTGTGACCTGCTCATCAGTGTCAGCTTTGGTGAATTCCTCAGTATGGGCCCTTACATAGGCGCAGGATCAGGTTCTCCATTTTCTTCTTGAAGTTGCTGGGCAAGTGCCCGATCAGCATTGAACTCCGCAAGTTCTCGAGCGCTCTGCATCAACAATGCGAAAGCAACTTCACGATCAGTGAGATCCTCTCCTCGATGAACTCTGGTATCGTATAAAGTCTGCCACCTCTCCACATCAGAAAGGTCAAGTTGTGCGATCATACGGGTAAGATCCTCCTCATAGTTATTTCTTTCTCTTGGACCAGGGACCAGACGTGGTCGGGAGGGACCAGCGATGTTCATGGCGGCAAGCAAGAGGTGTGCGAAACTGGAGTACAGCATACGCGCCTATGCCTACCGTTACAACGTGTTGACAGCGTGAGCGATCGTGTAATGAAGCCATACACAAATCTGCTAGCTGTGTATTGGCAAAACATGGACGGGAGAGGAATAAGTACTTAAGTACTGAGTGGCGAGACGGGTTCAATTGTGTTGCGGTCGGCTAAAATTTTGGCTCAAATACTACGTAATTCAATAACAGTTGTTACTTGCAGCGCGTGCTCACTGCTCTCTGCCCTTCTCTGCCTCGCTCTGTCTGGTGCTTGGACTTTGCGCCAAGTGCTACTAGTACACAGCCAAAAAAAATCTAGCCTTGCCTTCTGCTTCATGAACCTGAATGTTCCTATTATGCATGAATTGCATTAGTACTGGTGCAATGGGCGTCATCTGATTTCTGATCTCATGCACTGCTTCAGAGCTTCGTCCACATCAAAGTGAGGTGAGCATGCCTTTTTGAAAGCACCACTCACATGGTCACTGTCAGGGTTAGCCCATGATTGACGCTGTCATTCAGGGCGGCAGCGCAACAAGGGCGCAAGTGCTGTGAGTCCTCGTCGGCTAAAGATGATAACAGAAGGTAAATGCAAGCTGTAGTATTATTCAACGGAGCAACATCGTGGTTTGCACTCGCAAAATTATCATTCTTCAAGCCGGACATCAACTTCTTCTGGTATATTGTCTAATTCATTCATGTCATCAAGTTGGACACCGGACGAATCGTCCAACACACTTCTAGCAGAGAAAGGTTGGTTGCAGGGTACAGTGGTCAGCGCCGTTGCCTACGGCATTGGCGTCGCCCTGTACTTTATGTGCTTCCATCTACTTTTCCGGCAGATGACCCGCACGAACTACAGAAAACACCTGCCTCTACTCATGCACATCACCGTGACTTTCATCCTCAGCACCTTGTTCATGGCAGCACTGGCCAATTTCACGCAACTCGCATTCATTCAAGATCGCAATTATCCGGGCGGTCCGAACGCATTTGAGGATGATATGTTCGGCATTCCTGTGGACAATCTTGGAAATGTCTGTGGCTTGATAGCAATGCTTCTTTCAGATGGATTGGTAGTGAGTAGTATTCGACGTTGAAAATACCATCGCTAAAATTCCACGAAGGTCTGGCGCTGCTTCGTAATTTACAAAGGGTGTAGGGTGCCAATGTGGATCATCATGTTATTGCCTGGTCTGATTTTCGCTGCATCTGTTGGTCAGTCACTCCTTGGTGTCTGTGGACTGTTTTCGACGCTCACCGTTGCATCTGTTAGTCATGGGAATAATGTGGCTGCTTCAAGTAACCTCTAGCTCCCCATATGTTTCCCCGGCTCAATTCCATAGCATCAACTATACCATTCCCTATCCCAGCCTCTCGCTCGCTCTGAATATCATCGTCACCATCGTTATTGTACTTCGACTGCTCACATATCGTTACCACATTTCCAAAGTCCTCGGCTCCAGCTACGGAACTCAATACACGTCGATTGCCGCGATGTTAATTGAATCCGCCGCTCTTTATTCCGTGTTTTCGGTTGCGTTTCTTACTCTATTCCTTCTGAATAGTCCCGTCGCGGAGATATTTGTCGATTCACTGAATCAGATTCAGGTTAGTACTAGCAAATGGAGAGGCACCCAGATGCTCATGACATGCCACAGGTAATTGCAATGCTGCTCATAGTTTTCCGAGTCGCGCAAGGAAAGAGTTGGTCTCAGGACACCATGTCTAAGGTAATGACCTCGAATCGATCAGCGCAACCCGTCCACGTGGATCTCGCGTCTAGTTCGCGGGGCAACTCCAAAACGTTTGCCACTTCCAATAACATTGCAATTGGGACGCACGAGACTTACAAGATTAGCGACCGCGGTTCAGCAGAGGCAACTTTGTGAGCAAGGTCATTTAAATACCTGGATTATGCGGGCACTTAAATATTGCGCTCAGAGGAATATTGTATAATACGGAAAATGGTGTATCGGTTTAGTTAGTCCCAATGCGCCCTCCACTCCACCCACTTTTCATGACTCTCATCGAGGGCAGAATATACTTTTTCCCAGTCTCTGCACACCAATGTGTCTCCCACTCTGTCCTTCTCATAGTCAACGCTCATAAAGTCTCCCATCTCCAGTGTATATGCGGCCTCACACATCAAAGTCTGTCGAAGATAATTGAAACAGTGGTTTATGTGATGGAATGAGGCTTCAGGATCGGTACTGCCGAGGAGACCTAGCTCGAGTTTCCATAGACAGTGGTTCTGATGCTGGAAAACCATCACGAAAACTCGGTGCTGTGGTCCTAGACGCATGCGACCAAAGCCTTTTGGCCACGTCGGGAGGTTCCTCCATTCCACACGAGCCTCCGCGTCTGATTCATTGAGTGAAAAATGCACACTCTCGTGAAGAGTCATTGCGACGGCTTCATGCGCGAGGTCGAGAGGAAATTCCCATGGGTAATCGTCGTCAGCATAAGTGTATTCTATCAATTCTAAGACGCCCAGGTCAGCACATTCTCGCTCTAACGCGTATGAGGAGGTACTTACGATCATGCTGTGCTGGTTGCAGTTGGATACGAGCATGCCACACGGTGATAAGCACGCTAACCATCCCAAACACCCATCCAACTCCTAGTTCTCTGCGAGAAATCATGAAGCAACTTTTACCTCCGGTGATTGATTTCTACCGAGGATTCCAATGGTTTAAACTGCTTAGCCTTGGACCAAGAATAGATATCTCCTCATAATGTGACCCCATCTGATTCACCGATGACCGGTCTGTCCATTTCATCTCTAGCCGATCTAGACGCTACTTCGAGCTTCTTGCCGTTTAGGTGATCACAATAAGTATGCGCGGCGGCCAGCCTTGGCATATAGGCTGATCGGCGCCCCATGATGGAATTAATGTCGGCGGTAACGAACTGCCTTTCAAGTTTCAGCCTCACCATGAGGTCCGTATTACTTTACGTCAATTACCCTCGATAACGCTAATGTCTTTGAGCACCTGTTCGATCGACCCGTTTCTCTCTATGCCTCAATCCCGCTCATGCATGCGCGTTCCGCAACATCGACGCGGTTATTTTAAACGTGGATCGATACTGGGCGTAGAGATGCATTGGTCCGAAAGTTGAATCAATAAATATGGTTTGCAGTCACGGTGAGGAGACGTGGAATAACTCAGAGGTCAGTTGACTATGTCAGTACGACATGCACTTGTCACACTTGAAATCGTCCACTGGCACGGACCTTCTGCCATATTCTGGAACTGGGTATCAATCGTTATAGTTAGACTTAATAATACTAAATTGACTAGATGTGCAGGGCGACTCAATCATTGATATCCGTAATGGTGGTCTGCGTCAGGAAGTCTGCCACCACTTGAAAGTATCTCTCCTGGTCCTCCTCCTCCGTGAATGGCATGTGACGCTGCGAGAACTGCACCCACTTCACGTGAGGGATTTTATGGAAGAAAGGACTGACGCAGACGTCCTGCGCTTCGTCATTGGCACCGTTGGTAAGGAGGGTGGGAACTGTGATTGTGTGAATCTGATCAAGACACGACCATGGTTTCAGTGTACCCGTGATGGTAAACTCTGACGGTCCAACCCTAGCAACGAAGATCAGCATACGTCAGAAAGGAAGGTCGAGATATCACCTACATCGTGCTATACACGGTGGGATTTTGCAACATGGCTGCAAAAGAAGCCTCCAGCTCCTTTGGCCAGGGAGTCTTACAGACGTGCTTCTCATAGAATATGCCCATCGCTTGTTGGTATTCAGGGCTATCCGTTGTCCCTTCTTTCTCGTGCTTCTCAATTGTCTCCCTCACATCTTCTGGCAGCGCGGCCAGCAACTGGCGAGTGCTTCTTTCCCATAGCGCCATAGACGGGGTTCCACTGGTGAGGACAAGGTGTTTGAGACCCACCGGGTGTCTGTGACTGGCATAGTGTGCGCCTAACATCGCTCCCCAGGAGTGACCCAGAAGAGAAAAGTCATTCTGCACACCAAGGTAGACAAGAAGGTTGTCCAACTCATCCATGAACAGATCGACTGTCCAGAACTCTTTGGGCTTCTCCGCCACGCCTTCAAAAAGAGACATGCCGATGCCGACCTGGTCGTAAAAGATGACGGGGATTTTGTATTTGTTGTAGATTTCAACGAGAGGTGTCATATAGTCATGCGAAATGCCAGGGCCACCGTGCAGCACGACGAGAGGGCGCACGCCCGAAGCGAGATCCCCGACGATTTTATACCAAGTCTGGTACGTGTCGTCACCGACTTTGAAGTCTACTTTGCCTGTAACTTCAGTCATTGTAAGTTTAACGTATGGGACACCTTTGGCGAGCTAGAAACGACCAGGACATGACCCTTTATACTACATGAGGACGTTTCAGCGTTCAAGTTGGACTATTCCGGCTATTTTTCCATCGCCAGAGATGAAACGTTGGCGGTGTTTGGGCTGCTGATCATCATATCAGTAGTACATAATTCTTTGAGGAATGATGCAGGAATACTTGATTTCGCAATTTTTATCTTGGACAATATATTCATCCAACATGTATGCATATGAATGCGCTTCCTGCGATCACTGGCAAGGATGGAGATGAAGCGGACTGTAATATGCATGTGATAAAATGAATCCGGTTATGATTTGTCAGCTAATCATCCAGGTTCGAATTTCGAACAGTTTGAAATTTCTATGAAGTACTGCCGCGGCAGCATGCATATGCGCATATCACAAGCTTTACACTGGTCTACACCAGTGCTGGTACTGATATCCAGTTGGGGTAAAATGCGCTTCAAACCATCATCTCACACACTGCCCCGAAAGTCCAGAACGCCAGCCTGATCCACATCAAAATGGACTCATGACCCTGGAGTGAGCATGCCGTCTTCAATGAACTTTCACCACTCACATGGTCAGTAGGTTCTTTGATAGGTACTGTCAAAGTCTACGCCGACCGCGCGGCAGGCACCCAACTGCTGTGAGACGAGCTCAGTATTCAGTTGGCAAAGCGGTCCAAAATCAGATCCGGTCCTTCACGTTCGATTTTCCTTCCCCTGCACTCTCAAAGTCTGTCGTCCTCGTCGATGGTACTTTGAGCTTTGCCGCGCCAAAGTCCATCACATAAGTCACGTCCAAGAGGTGAATCCAAAACGGACGCTATGGAGTCGAGATTTGAGTGCATTGGGTGAGTATGAACTCGGAAGCAAAAGCAAATGATAGCAACATCGACACTCCCGATTCTCGAACAGCACAGCTCGAGGGTGGCGTTACGCGGATCTGGGGAAATGGTGCGATGCAACTTCAATGGATACAATCAATGGGTACTCGTCTTGGTTCAGTATTCCTCTATTACTGCGGCTGAATCCATTTGCAATGTGTTGATTTGCTTCATGCACCCGAGGCAGATTGGTTCTGCAATGATATATGCAGGCGTGGCACCAGCTCTCACAAGAACGCAAATGTATCGAAGTGTCGGATCCACTCAGGTCCGCACAATGTTCTGCAAGTGACGTGTTCTTCAATTGGTACCGCAAAGAAATTACCACATTTGGTATACCCCTAGCTAAGCGCAGGAAATTCCCATGGGAGGCGATCTCGTGTACATTTTTCCCGAGCGGGTACCTCTTGCGAGAAGCTGAACGGTTCCACTCAGTGAGTTTTCGCAAATAGGTTACTTGTCCTTTGACATTGCAAATACACCAGGCCTGGGCTGGTTGTATTCACCGGACTTTGACCGAGATCCTCATCAGATACGTGCCAACCAAACCTTCCCCGAAGACGTCCGTCATCAAAATTGATTATGCCATTTTTGAACGTTCAGAACAACTCGCGGGTTGCACGCAAGGCCCCCATGGAACGGCTGTGGTGAAGGGTAATATTTAACGAGGCGCTAACACATGATCGTAACTCACTCGCCCACTACATATCATTGTTCTTCCAGGACATCATCTTATTCTGCTCATCATCCAATTCATCATGTCATCTAGTTGGACACCAGACGAATCGTCTGAAACACTTCTTGCAGAGAAAGGTTGGTTGCAGGGTACAGTGGTCAGCGCCATTGCCTATGGCATTAATGTCACATTGTATTTTATGTGCTTCCACCTCCTTCTCCGGCAGATGACACGCACGAACTGCAAAAAGCAAATCCCTCTACTCGTGTACATCACTGTGACTTTCATTCTCAGCACCTTATTCATGACAGCGTTAGCCGATTTCACGCAACTCGCATTCATTCAAGATCGCAATTATCCGGGTGGTCCAAATGCATTCGAGAACGACATGTTCTCCATTCCTGTGGACAATATTGGAAACGTCTGCGGTTTGATAACAATGCTTCTTTCAGACGGATTGGTCGTGAGTAGAAGTACTCGACGTCGAAATTGCTATCACTAATATCTCTGCGCAGGTTTGGCGCTGCATGGTAATTTACAGAGGGTGTAGGGTGCCAATGTGGGCCATCATGTTATTCCCTTGTCTGATGTATGCTGCATCCGTTGGTCAGTCACTTCCATCTGTTTGTGTGACTGTATCAGACACTCACCATCAGTTAGTTATGGGAATAATGTGGCTGCTTCAAGTAACCACTTTTTCCCCATATTTCTCCTCGACTAACATCAACTACACTGTCCCCTATCTCAGCCTCTCGCTCGCTCTGAACATCATCATTACGATCGTTATCGTACTTCGTCTGCTCACATATCGTCGCCGCATTTCCAAAGTCCTCGGCTCCAGCTACGGAACTCAATACACGTCGATTGCTGCGATGATAATTGAATCTGCCGCTCTCTATTCCGCGTTCTCGGTGGCATTTCTGACTCTCTTCCTTCTGAACAACCCTATCTCGGAGACATTTATTGAGGCACTGACTCAGGTTCAGGTGAGCACTGGCAAATGAGGGGCATTCGCGCTGCTTATGACATGTCACAGATAATTGCAACGCTGCTCATAGTCTTCCGAGTCGCGCAGGGAAAGGGTTGGTCTCAGGACACCATGTCCAGGGTGATGGTCTCGAGGCCATCAGTGCAAGCAATCCGCATGGGGGGTCTCGGGTATGATTTGCGAGATGGCTCCAAATCGTTCACCGATTCCAACAACGTTGGGACGCATGAGACCTGCAAGATTAGCGACCGCAATTTAGTGGAAGCAGCTGTGTGAACAAAGGTCGCTTAGATACCTACTGAGATAATAGTTGTAGTGTGTCGAATGCGGCACCGGGTACCTGTCAAAGTAAACACTTTGTAAACCTTAGTATATATACCATGATGATAGGATCTCAATTGGATTGTCTGCACTTCACATTGTCATCTTTCGCCTAATCTCTGAATCTGCATGATCAGTACTGGAGTATTCATACGAGTCCCACTAGTACTATCATGATATGATGATCTGATCTAGCTGAGACTGATAGTGCTCTGAATCATGTGATCTTGGGACGAATTCATTCAAACAGTGCAGAGCTCTTCCTGTTCTGCTTGTTTTCTGCCAGTTTCCGTCCCAATGGTAGCCTATGCATGCAACCGCGAATTCAAACTCGTTTCCGAAAGTAATACTTGTTTTCCGCCCTGGTAACGACTTTCCGTTAAAGTTTGCCATCGACTCGGATAGGAAAGGACTGAAAGGAGAAACGGCACACTTTCTCTGGGTGGCCAGCTTGCTCGTTCACACAGTGCATTCAGCATTGATTCAACATTTCCTCATAGTTTCCTCAAGCTCCCCTCCTGAACATAGCGGTGGCCTGTGGCAGCGTGCAGTGGTAAAAGCCGATCTGATTCTTGGGTCACTATTGAGTCTGTTCTGGAATCTGCGGCACTCACTCAGTCTCACATAGCCTCGCTGGCACTCACTCAGTCTCACACAGCCTCGCTGGCACTCGTCTCAACGAACTACACCTCAGAAGCATTCGGAACGTATATTCCCCTGGTTGTCCTTGGGGATCGAGGTTCGGATTCTGCCTGCCTCGCGTGGTTCGCTATCCGGCGGGCACAAGGCTCGGTTCTGATTATTAAACAGAAACAGTTTAACCCGCTCTATAACCCAACTGAATCGGATTCCTATTCGGCTGCTGGCGGGGAGCCACACACGTGAAATAGTGGGTTGACGAAGACATTCTGGCCCACCTCGACTAATTTGAGCGCACACCAAGCGCGACTAACTATACTTTATGATTCAAACATACCTCGTTGTCTCTGCCATTATCTGCGCAATCATCGCAGAAGGATGGCGTTCCACGCGAAAGAAGGTGAATGGTATGCCACTCCCACCTGGACCGCGCTTGCTGCCTTTCGTGGGGAATATCCTTGACATCGATGCGGCTCATCCATGGTTAACTTATGCAAAATGGGGAAAGCAGTATGGTTGGTTAGCCCATCCTGATTACGCTTTGCAGCTCATTTTGAATTACAGGTGACATTGTATACGCGCGTCTTTTTGGCCAGCACTTCATCATCATCAACTCTGAGAAAGTCGCTAGGGCCGTTGTGGACAAACGCTCAGCGATATATTCTGATCGTCCCGTCATCGCTACAAACGAGTAGTACGTCTGTTGATCAATGAGCGCCATCAGTTGATTGACTAGTAACAGTTTTGGATTGTCGTTTAACACAGGACTCCAGCCATACGGTGATACATTCCGGATGCACCGCAAACTTTATCATCAGTCCATGCGTATTGAAGTAACAAATTCGTACCAGGATCTGTATCTCCGCAAGGCTCACGAGCTCATTGTAAATCTATTGGATGACTCCAATAAGGTCGAAGGTCACCTCAACACGTTGGTCCCTAGCTGTGGTTATCCGTGCCTACCCTGATTCTGATATGAAAACAGACTTGCGTCGTCTCTTATCATGGCAGTCACATATGGATACGAGACCAAGCCAAAGGATGATCCCTTCGTAGACACTATTCAGAAGATCATTCACATAATATCCGAAGTCATATCTCCTGAAAGAGCGGCCCTGCAGATGTTCTTCCCTTTTCGTAAGCATTGCGTGCTATCGGGGATCGTGTTTTTGAAATCTCAATTTTTTCAGTGCATCGACTGCCATCCTTTGTGCCAGGGGGTAAGTACAAGAAGATGGCCCCAGAATGCCGTAGATTGGCTGCGACTATACAGGAGGAACCCTTCGAGTACGTGAAAAAACAAATGGTGAGCACGTCTGACATCTTGGAGTTTTCGCAAAGAACGATTTCTCTGTCAGGCAGAGGGTGAAGCCCGTCCATCTATGGTATCAGACTTCCTGAGCCAAGAGGACAAAAGTGAAGTTCATGATCAGGAACAATTGATGAAGGCGGTTGCTGCAACTGCATACATCGGTAAGGGATCATGTTGATATTGGTTTTCATGGTGGTAAACTCTTTGCTCTTTCAGCCGGGTCCGAGACGGTAAAATGAACCCTTTTCCTTTGTGAATAAATCTTGACAGCTGGAAATGACAGACCTCAGCAACATTGCACATGTTCCTCCTGGCAGTGCTTCTTTATCCGGAAGTCCAGACCCGCGCCAGAGCAGACATCAACGCAGTGTGCGGACCGGACAGAGTTCCAACTTTCCAAGATAGGAAGTCACTGCCATACATTGAAGCTATCTGTCGTGAAACCCTCAGATGGCAGCCTGTTGCACCCCTCGGTAAGCCTTACGAGAAGAAAGCGGTCGAAGTCAATTTGACATGCTTTCCGTTAGGTCTTCCGCATGCAACCTCATGCGATGATGTTTATGATGGCTTCTTCATTCCCAAAGGTCTTTCACTACCAGCATCGCAAGCTACTGATCATGTTTCTCAAGAGATTAATAGGTACCATGGTGATGTTGAATGCATGGTGTGTCTCGGGTGATTATACCTCCATGATCCATGCAGCAGCTAATTCCTCCCATAGGGCCATGGGTCACGATAAGGAATTGTATCCCGACCCGTCACGTTTTGATCCCGGTCGCCATTTAACTGCAGACGGACAGTTAAAAGATGAGCCAACGTACAGTCATTTTGGTTTTGGTTTTGGAAGGTTTATATAATCTTCTTGGTTGCGGACAATGTCGCTGATATCATCTGAAGGAGAATTTGTCCAGGCCGTTTCTTCGCAGCCAGCTCCTTATGGGCGGCCGTTGTTTCGGTTTTGTCGACTGTCGAGATCACAAATGCAAAAGGCGAAGATGGCAAGGATATCAATGTCGAGCCGAAATTCACCAGTGGTGTTGGAATGTCGGTCCTTTTTCCCTTATTTGCATCTCGGAGGGTCTGACGATGTTGGATTCAGCCGCCCCGAATACTTTCCGTGCTCTATGCGCAGTATATCTTCGGCTAGGGAGGAGCAGATGCGAATGATGTGGAAAAGCTGATGCTGACTGGTCAGTGAGTTTATATTATCTGTATTGTAAGCATGTTCGCAGTATGCATGTATGTCTTCACCTCCACATCAACCAAGAAAACGTAGTCTGAGGCTGTCCCGCAGATCAGGTAGCATACTGGTGACGGCCAGCCTCATGGGCTGATGTGACATGTGCTGATGTGCCTATTTATGTTCGCAGATAATTGGGAGAGATGCGTGCTGGAGCTCTGGAGGGTTGCATGCGTTGCTAAAAGTTTAAATTTCATTGGTCGGAAAAACGATAATCGATTTCTATTGGCTAACGAACGACACTGAAGCTTAGATAAGAAAGTAATGATATTCGTATTCGACCCAGATCAACAAATTTGGACAGCAAACGATCCACGATCCAAATCAATTGATTCAGACTAATCATCAGCCTTGTCTCTCAGCGACCACGATCAAGTCTTATATCGTGCCTATTTTAGATCTTATGGAAGCTCAGACTCCATGTCTACGTCTTCTAGCTGCTGGCTCTAATGCTCGCGGTCAGCTAGCCAATGGTTCAGATGACGATTCGCATACTTTCAAAGAGTGCCGCTTCAAACAGGGTGCGCTTCCTCCCGATACGCACGGCATCCTGCAGCTTGCGACTGGAGCAAACCACACTCTCGTATTATTTGAGTTTGGTGACGGCCAAAGGGAGCTTTGGGGGTGTGGAGACGGACGCAAAGGGCAGCTGGGTCCTGAGTACATGGGACAGTTGACAGAATTCACCCCGATCAGCATGCCCTTGTACAAAACTTATGCTTCCCAAGGATATACCTGTTGTCTCATTGCTGCCGCTTGGGAGACATCATATCTTGTTTTGAAATCGCGTTCCCGACCAGACGTGGTCATCTCGATGGGCTCAAACGACTTTGGGGCACTCGGTGTGGGCACAAAACAAGTTACGGCAACTCCGACAGTCATTTTGTTTGATCACCTCACTATCGAGGGTCGCTCTATCAATTCCAGTGAGCTCGTTGTCGAGTCCATTGTTGCAGGACCTCGTCATGTCGTACTTCATTTGCGACCCGTTTTCAGTGATGAGCATATGCTCGTTGGCTGGGGTTTGGCCAGACATGGCCAACTAGGGGATACGAAGATTGTGAATTATGACCGCCCTTGCATCATTTCCCTTGATGTATCCGCAGATCCAGTGCAAACATATTCTCTCGGTCTTCAACATACTGTTGTCTGCCACCAATCAGGGCGGACAACAGCTTTTGGATCTAACAAGAAAGGACAACTCCACAGGATGGATTCTTGGGTGCGCATTCGACAGGTCGGGTGTACGTGGAACGGGACCTTCCTTCTCGTAGACGACGATGAAAATACCCTTCTATCCACGGGAAGTAATGCCCATGGTCAACTAGGTCGTGAGTTGCAAGGGGAGAAGAACGAGGTTACTGTTGGGCCTGTCGAATTTACTTTATCCCACGATCGCAAATTGCCTTCGCTGAGATCCTTTGCTTGTGGCAGCGAACACGTGGTGGCAGTGATCTCTCCATCTGGCTCGTCAGACATGGAAGTTTGGGGGTGGGGGTGGAACGAGCACGGTAACTTGGGGCTGGATCATACGGATGATGTGCCGAAGCCCATCAAGATCTGGCCAGCAGGAGGACACGCGGTGGACGGAAAACCTGTTCAGGTATGGGCTGGAAATGGGACCAGTTGGATCTTATTACAAACATAGTATACAGGTCTATTGAAACACAATGTATGCGGGACAAAAAAGACAGCCAGCGCAGGGCAGGAGCAGACGTCATTGGTCATCCATGAGGTCCATGTCGACATGAATTTGCCGGACGGTGGTTTCCTTCGAAGCAGCGAGCTGTGACAACAGATGAGCATCTCCTAGAAGCAATAAAGGACCTGGTAGAGTTTGATACCCTTCCTATTAGTAACTTCGGTTCAGAGCGTTAGCTTGCAGAATATAGAAAATCTGGGTCAAACCTGAGTAGCATCCTTGGCTTCATTATAGCGGTGCAACAGTTTTATGTGTCTTGATACGATGACCTCGGCGCTCTCATCCTCACTGTAAAATGGGTCAAGTGGTCAGCGTGTTTCGCCAGAGTCGATTATCTGCTCCAACCCTATCCTCTTCTGCAGGACGTCAATTTCGGCCTGAAGTTTATCGATATATTCCTTTTGCTTCTATACGTAGATTGAAAATGCATGTCGTAGAAACCAGACATGAAATATGACATACCTTGGCAGACGTCGCGGCATGCATGATAGTATATTCTACTGCAAAACCGAAGTAGAGCTGATCACGAGCAAATTGACGGGCGTACTTCGGAAGACGCGTTTCTCCAATGCAACGCGTTGTTGACGATTGTTTATGTATCAGGGTTCTTTCCCTTATGCCAACGTTCTCGTTCAAATGCTACGAGCTCAGATTTCCTATGGGTGAACGACAACAGATATACGTCATCACTCGCGTCCGGTCTGCAGGCTCAGGATCTACGAAGCACCGCTGTATAGCAGCATATCATGTTCCGCAATGTCAGGGGACAATTGCGCTACTCCGCTTTCTTGCCGTGAAGCATGGCAGTAATAGGGAGGTAGAGCCCCTGCTCTTCAACACGCTTCAATTGCGATTCCTGCAGCCGTTGATCGCATTCGAGTTCCAACCAACGCCAAAGATGCGTCTAAACGGTTTACCCTACCTGCACTTCAAACTGGGCATACAATAAGTGCCTTGAGCCTGCGTGAATTTTTCCACCGATATGGTCAACTCGACACCCAAAAGCGGGCTCGGTAGAGATTTTAGAAAATGGGTTGCACATGGTTTGCACAGTCACTGGTACAGTATCGATCTATTTATTTGAATTTCTATCCGCGATGTATTCCTTTTACTCTGATCGGGGAATCACGACCGTACTGCCAGGGGTGAGCACTATCTGTATAATAATTTCAAAAAGTTACCGTGATTTCCCTCCTGCCAGACGATGATCAATATGAGACGACTTGTCTTTGCTTTTACGGTGACAGTGATACCTGCTGCAGTTGTAAACATTGGTCTTGGCTATATTATTGCACGGAGGCCTTGGTTTTCCGACAGCAGGCCTTTCAAAGGGGTGGTTCTCAGCCGTGGTACTGCAAATTTTCTTGGCGTGTCCTAGAAACTTTTTTTGACGATTTCACGTATCAGATTTATCTTTTCAAGTGGATTTCGGAGAGCCAGTATGTATGCGAATAGACCAAACAGCACACTACCGCGCGGATACGGATGAGGGCGGAGAAGAGTTTGCGAAACTCATTCTGCGCAGAGGGCACACTGTTCATATCACCGATGCGGAGACGGGTGAAAATCGCATTTGCACAGTGACACTATTTCATCAGCTTAAATGCCTAGCAATCATCCGTGACGACTACGTAGCAATGCGCCCCCAATCATCAATCACTGGCTCATTAAAAATCTGCCGAAGATATTCCAGAAAGTGATGTGCGTGAGGGATCGTCGCACATACTATATCTAGTGTGAGCACTAGTGCAACTTCCATAATTGAACATTGAACCACTGATGCTGCTGTGCCACTGCTAGATCTCGTACTCACATATACTTACCTCGAGCCTGAGCTTCTTGAATCACCCTGATGATCATACATGCTGGCATGCACGAAATGGCCGCATGGCCGCATGACGAGAAAGATGCGTGCAGTGCCGACATTCCCAGCAGAGAGTCGCCTGGAGGCCCTCGTCATTTGGTTTGATGGCAACCATGAGCTCTGTACTAGTCTCCATTATCCTAAAAGATGACCCAAGGTCTAGCTCGTTCTGATGATTCAATATACAGCCTGTGAGTTATCATGCTTTCTTGGCTTCGAAAATTTATCATCCTCCCAAATTCCGAGCTGGATTCCGAGCTGAGACTAAAGCCGCGGCGGTCAGAGTCTATCAGTAACCTGACCGTGGCTATGAGAGATAACAAGAATTCGAAATGATGTGCGAAGGCTGTTATGCTATTGCCCTCACCGAGTTGACCGAGCTGATGTATAAAATGGTGCTGCTGCTGCATCTCCTATGTAGTCCCTGGCATCTCACACACATACCTTTTAACCAGCGAACCTTAGCGAAGAGTACCATTAACATGATCGCACTTAACATCAGTAGACTCAGCTTCTGCGTCCTGCTCTTATCCGTTGCCTTCGCACAGATCCTAGCAGTCAGTGCTGCCGACAACCCGAAGTCTTGCTCCGGGAATACTAGAGACGTGGATGCCACAAATAGTGCGAAGATCCTACGGCCTATGTGGAGCGTAACTGACGAACAACTTCTAGCGGTGGAATGTTTTTGAAACTTGAATGCCGCTGGAGGGTTGAAAGTTGATGCAGAGACCGATAAATCAGCACACGAGACGCATTACAGGAATGATCGCCCAAATATACGAAGGATATCGTATTGTGGGTCACATTTGGGAGCGCAGACGACGTGGTCGCGCACATGGGACTATTCGTTCATACTTCACCGTCACCGCATACCTGTCCTATTGCTCTTACTTCTTAACAATTTCGATTATTACTTTGGTGTCTGGGTTTCCATGAATGTAGCCAGTTTTTTTATACTACCGCCATGCAGCATGACAAGAGGGTGTGCACCTGAAGCGAGATCCCCGACGATTTTGTACCAAGTCTGGTATTTGTTGTTACCGACATTGAAGTCTGCTTTTCCCGTAACTTCTTCATCCATTAAAAGTTTGACATACGGGGCGTGCCGGGGGGGAAGGCTGGCGACGACCAGGACACAAGCCTTTATACACGAGAAGGACTCGGGTGTCGCGTTTCAAAATTAACGTTTAGATGTAAGTTGACAGAATACTGAAACGTTTGATTCCCAAACGCAAGCTGGACTATTACGGCTGTTTGCATCGCAAAGAATGAAACACCGGCGTTTAGCTAGCTGATTATATGATCAGTGAGCGCTGTAGTCTCTTCGAGGAATATCGATAAAGGAGTACTTGGTTTCGCATTTTGATCTTGGAGAGTATAGAGTCTTCCAGACATCAAGTGTTCAAGTGTGCTTACTGCTATCAACGTGGAATCTTAGATGAGGGTGCAGAGCAGGCTGACTGGATATGATTAGGACGCATGATGATCATGAAACAAATGAGCTTCAAGTTATGTCGAGAAAATTTACGCCTTCGCCTCTGCGAGAAGTCACGTGATTTCCATTTATATCGACGTGCTTGGCTAAAATATCACGTAATACATTTATCCAGATAATTTACTATTTTGTTTACCATGCTCTTTGACTTCGCACTACACTGCCAGAAAATCTTGCTGTATCTTCTGCTATATGAACCTGAACGTTGAACCTCCCTATTATGTTTTTATTGCATGATTTGCACTAGTACTGATCTGGTGGGCATCTTGCACTGCTTCAGGGTCCCGTCCGAGGTGAACCTGCCTTTTTGAAAGCCATACTCACATGGTCACTGTCAGGGTTAGTTGCCCATCGCACCATGATCGGTAATAATGTGGCTGCTTCAGCTAACATCTGCTTTCTCACTAATACCAACTACACCGTCCCCTTTCCCAGCCTATCGCTCGCTCCAGATATCATCGCCACCATCGTTATTGTACTTCGCCTGCCCACATATCGTTATCGCATTTCCAACGTTCTCGGTTCCAGCTATGGCACTCAATACACGTTGATTGCCACGATGAGGTGTATCAGTTCACCTAGTCCCAATGCGCCCTCCACTCCACCCACTTCTCGTGGTTCTCATCAAGTACAGAATATACTTTTTCCCAGTCTCTGCAGACCAATGTGTCCCCTACTTTATTCTTCTCATAATCAACACTCAGAAAGTCTCCCATCTCCACTGTGTATGCAGCCTCACACATCAAAGTCTGTCGAAGATAATTGAAACAGTGGTTTATGTGATGGAATGAGGCTGCGGGATCGCTACCGCCGAGGAGAGCTAGCTCGAGCATCCATAGACAATGGTGCTGATGCTGAAAAACCATCACGAAAACTCGGTGCTGTGGTCCTAGACGCGTGCGACCAAAGCCTTTCGGCCACGTCGGGAGGTTCTCCCACTCCAGACGAGCCTCCGTGTCAGATGCACTGAGCGAAAAATGCACACTCTCGTGGAGAGTCATCGCAACGGCTTCATGCGCGAGGTCGACAGGAAATTCCCATGGATAATCGTCGTCAGTATAAGTGTATTCCATCGATTCTAAGACGCCGAGGTAAGCGCATTCTCGCTCCAACGTGTATGAGGAGGTACTTACGATCATGCTGTGCTGGCTGCAGTTGGATGCGAGCATGCCACACGGTGACAAGCACGCTAAGCATCCCAAACACCCATCCAACTACTAGTTCTCTGCGAGAAATCATGAGCACCTTTTGTCTCCAGTGATTGATTACTACCAAGGATGTCAGATAACTAACCGGAAACCTTGCTGATTCGACTCGGAGGCATTGAGCACTGCCAAATACCAATGGATTAAACTGGTTATCCTTAGACCAAGAAGATCTCCTTGCAACAGAGCTGTGATCGCTTTAGCCGCGTAATCCCATCTGATTCACCAGCCTCCCATTCATTTCTAGCCGATCTTATCCAGATGCTACCTCAAGATAAGTATGTGGCAGGCATAGTGCGCACCCTCGGACTGCATTGCCTCACGGCTAGCTAGCTTTGGCATAAGCCAACGACGCCCATGGAATTAATGTCCTCGGATGAACTGCCTTTCTAATAAGTTTAGACTTGCAGTGGCACCTGCTTTGATCTCCGTCACATTATATTCTGGAAAGATATACAGCCACCCCCTGTATTTCGTTCTGTCCAGGTGAGTACTAGTCGTCATTTAATTGATATCCTCGTCTTGTCAATGACCTCTCAATGGATCGACAAGATCTCAACAGTCAACAATTCGGAACACTCAAGGGCCAAAAGCAGGCTACCGCTGGGGCGCAGAATTTTTTTCAGACCTCAGCCCAAAGCTATACCCTGCTGTAGAGCAGATATTGCCGGTGGCAGTTGCGAACCGACTCGGACTATGTACTTTTATTTCCATCCTACCTCACCCTTCTTGAATCATTCTGATGATCACACATGCACACCTTCGGAGGAATACATAATCCGCACGACCCCATGATGAGGCCGCTGGTCCTCGCGTGATTTGATCGACCATGTTGCCGCTGATGTAGTTTCCATTATCCGGAAGATGTGCAACACAGGTGAGTTGTCATGATTCCTTGACTTCTAAACTCAAATTCTAAGCTGAGACTAACGCACTCCATCAGCGCCCTAATCGCTTCCGAGGCATAAAAATAATTTGCCAAGGAGTGCGAAGGCTGTTTTTCTGTTATCCCTCACCAAGCTGATGTATAAAAGGGTGCATCTCCTGTTCCCATCTCACAAAAACAACGCACCTTAACCAGCGAACATTAGCAAAGAGTATCATCAAGATGATCGCGCTAAACATCAGTAGACTCAGCTTCTACGTCCTACTCCTATCTGTTGCCTTCGCACAGATCCTAACAGTCAGCGCCAGCGTCGAGGCCCGGGATTGCGCCGCATCTGATGACGACCTCGATGTTACAAATTGTGAGTACTTTTTGGCGGTTATGTGGAGCATGACTGAGGAACTTATAGCGGGTGGCTGTTTTTGAGACTGAGATGCAGCTGGACGATCGAAAGTTGATGCAGAGACCAACGAATCAGCACATAAGACGCATTTCACGTATCTCATGAGTATACGAAGCATATTGTTTTGTGGGTCACACTTAGGAGTCCAAACGACATGTTCGCGTACACAGGACTGTTCGTTCATACTTGATTGTCACTGCATACCTCTCCTGTTACTCTCACTTTTTCACCGCATACCTCTCCTATTACTCTCACTTCTTAACAGTTTCAGTTATTACTTCCTGTTACTCTCACTTTTCCACCGCATACCTCTCCTGTTACTCTCACCTCCTAACAGTTTCAGTTGTTACTTTGCTTTTTGATTCTCCATGACAATATTGATAGCCAGATTTATCTAAACCACAGCGCCGCACGACATCGAGTTCTTCAACGCTTGCGGCTTGCCGTATAAGCATACATTCCGCGCCCAAAAACGAGTTCCACTGTATCAAGCTTGCTCTATGGATTTATTTGTTGCAGGACAGCGAGTTTCCATTAATTACACAGAGTTAATATACGCATCTACAAGTCGAGTTCGAAACGGGTATAAATAAGAGATAGTTGTGCCGAAATAATAGTGGCTGACATCTATGTAAAGAAACCCCACAGCGCAAGCCCGCTCAGCGCTACGAGAACAGTAAGCACCCTCATCTCATCCCCCGCCGTACTGTGCTCCAAAATAAGACCTAACCCGCCACGCTTGGAAGTGCCTGGGCGGAGGTTCAGCAAGAAATGGTGGATTCTCATTTTCCTCTCCCTTGGCAGGGAGGGGGAGGTGAAAGGAGAGAAGGCCAGGAGTGGCACTGCAAGTGGGATGGGAATGCTTGGAAGCGTGAATGGCAGGCGTAGCGCAGGTTTGCGCTCGGTGCAGCTCAAGGAATGAGGGAGCCCATGCTCGTCAGTACGAATGACATAGTTCCCGCTCTCCTCATACAAGCCGAAATCGACGGGGGTAAGAGATAGGGGAAGCGAAGCAGAAATGAACGTCAGTGCAAATGAGTGTAAGCGTGGGATCTCGTGTGCGATATGAGATGCGCAAACACGCAATGAGTCCCCTGTGGCTACCGGGACTAGCGTTAACCGGAGGTGACGGAGCCGAGGGAGGCAGCTGACGGATTTGGCCAGTGTGTCCTGAGAGATATTAAAGACCTTAGTACACATGTGGCAAACAAGGAAAACGTACCACTCTGAAAGATGATCTTCTCGCGCACGTTATCTCCAACGTGGTCAGTCCAGGGCAAGCACCTACAAGGTTCCTAATCAAGCTTCCACTTTCGTATGAAGAATGGAAAACAAAGGCAATGCGAAGTTCAGTGAGGCAGCGCAGGCTCTGCAATACCCCTGCAATTAACAGGGGTGCCAGATCACGGATGATCAGCGGCTCCTCGATCGTTATGTGTGTGATTTTTGGATGCGAAGGGGCCAGGGCTTGAAGGTGCTCCAATGAACCAACAAAATGGGTGAGGTGTGGTAATGCGGATGGATCGAGTGAAGGGAGGACATGAGGGCTCAATGCAGTGCGGGATGTGCGAAAAAATCGCAGACCCTGATGAGCCTCCAAAAACGCTATGAAGGGGCGCTTGGAGGACATCGGTCCTGGTCCTGAAGACCAATCCAACATGATGTCCCCTAGAGATAGAGAGTGTAGGAGAGGCCAGCGTGCGTTGCAGAGCGGATGCACTGTTCCGTCCAGAATCAACGGTCCTCCTAAGACATGCAGCTCCTCGAGGTTCGGGGAACGTCGGATCAGCATATCCCAAAGGCGACCATCAAAAGGAAGAGCATCTGCAACGCGTCAAAGCACTAGGAAATCCCATGTCAACAACAAGACAGACCTTGAAAGTCATCTGCATGATGAGTATAATATCCATATTTCAGGGTCAACGAGAAGCCACGGAGGTTCTTGAATTCCAGCAACTAGAGAAAATGAATGAATGGTATAATGTTTTGTGATGCACATACATGACTCCGTTGATTGGGTATCACAGATCCATAACATGTGCCAAGCGTGCGCAGCCGTGGGCACCTATGACATAATTGAGTCTTGATGAGAAAGATGAATGACCGATCAGACATACGACATTCGTAGAGCGAACCACATATCATCACATTGCGGGATCTCATCCGCGTCCCAGATGAAAGTATGGAGTGCGTCAAGTTTTGGCGCAAGTTCCCTTAAAAGCGCCGAGATCACTGTTCCATTGAAGTCGTTCATATAGCCAGAGGAGGTAGAAGAAAACCGAATGTGGAGTTTCTGGATATGACGCGCAATGTTCGGACGAGAACGGAGCATTGACAGAGTTCGCTGGCACTGTTCTGCGGTCCCGAGGTGCACATGGCAATACAATACAGGGCATGTGCTAGTGAACAGATGCTTGCTCTTCGTACGACTGGTTCAAGAAAGATCGATTCAGAATTGAGTTCGAGATACTCACTGAGAGTGCCAGGTTGAGAATGTCCGTTCTAGAGGACAGGCACGATGTCACCTCCAGTAAAAGATCGCCTGGTAGAGCAGCAAGGTTTAGAGAGTTCATTTGCAACGAGTATTGGGGTAGGTGTGTTTCGGGTATCCGAGAACACAGGAATCGTATCGGTTCGCTGGCTAGAAATGTAACTTGGTTATAATATGAGAGCAACGAGCAAAGAGCGTCAGACTGAGGCGCGGCAGCAGTTGTCTGGATTTGAACACGATTGCAATCTTTAAGTAGGCGAGCTTTTTTTATCCAAAAAGGCGTGCTGCTTGGTCACTTGAGAAATAACCTATCATGACTCCGACATCATTGAGCATCTGACCCGCGAAGTACTTACTCACGAGTCTCTGCCGAATCATCGATGGAACTCCGTTCTGGTAAGGGGATTTATAGCGCTGATTATCTCAAGATCATCTCTTCTATCTATCATGGCGAACCAACTGGCACTCCCTACTCTCGATAACCTCAGAAGTGCAGTATCTTCCGATATCGATGTTCAAGCGGTAGCGAGCCGATGGTTCTCAGCTTTCACGGAAGCGATGCAGTCAAAGAATATACCAGCAGTCGTAGATCTCCTTGTCGATGATGTCTTCTGGCGTGACATGCTCGCCTTGACATGGGACTTCCACACCTTCCAAAGCACTCCTTCCGTTAAGAAATTCCTCACAGATCAACTCCCACTATTTACCTTGTCTTCTTTCGAACTCAGGAAAGATCTCGTAGAACTTCAGAGACCATACCCCGATATCGCGTGGATTCAGGCATTTTTTGACTTTGAAACTACAGTCGGCATTGCATCTGGGGTGTTCCGGCTTGTACCACTTGCAGATGGATCGTGGAAGGCCCATACCATCTTCACGAACTTGGAAAATCTCAAAGGTTTCCCTGAAGAGAACGGTCCCAGACGAGACCACCAGCCGAACCACGGAAAGTGGGCTGCGAAGCGTGCACGTGAGATTGAATGTGTCGACGAGGAGCCCGGCGTCATAGTGATAGGAGGCGGGCAGAGTGGGCTCGACGTTGCAGCGCGGCTTAAGATGCTTGGCCTGAAGGCTCTAGTGGTGGAGAAGAACGAGAGAATTGGTGATAATTGGAGGAAGCGTTATGCAGCGCTGTGTCTCCACGATCCCGTCTGTGAGCCTATCGCTCTTTTCAGAATATTGTGTTTGCTTCTTACTCAATGATCCCCCTATAGGGTACGACCACATGCCATACCTTCCGTGGGTCTTACACCTCAGTTCGTCCATGACTGTCTGACCAAAAACCACGCAGGTTCCCTGCCTCATGGCCTGTATATACCCCTGCATTGAAACTCGCAGATTGGCTGGAATCATATGCACATAGCATGGAGCTCGATGTTTGGACCAGTGCCACTGTGATGTCCGTCATTCCGGGTACGAAGGGAAAGAAATGGAGTGTCGCAGTCCAACGTGCTGACGGAAGGGAGCGGACCTTTGAGGTCAATCATGTCGTGTTTGCCTTGGGCTTTGGGAGTGGTATGGGCCGAATTCCAGATATCCCAGGGCAGGTACGTTCGAACCATGAGTGTATGATCCTCGAGCTGATGTCAACCACCTACATAGAACGAGTTCAAGGGGCAGATAGTACATTCCAGCAAACACAATCTTGCTACTGATCACGCAGGGAAAAAAGTTGTTGTTGTCGGTGCTTGCACGTCTGGTAGGGATCGCGTCATAAATGCCGTATGGTCTCTGCTAACTCAGAGGATGCATAGCACATGATATATGTGCGGACTACGTTGAAAATGGCGTCGGTAAAGGATTTTTCGAACCATATTGATGATATTCAAACAAAATTGTCACAGACGTGACCATGGTTCAACGCAGCCCGAGTTACATCATGTCCACAAAGGAGGGCATGCCGAGGTTAATGTGTGAGTTATCTCTTGTTCACAACTTTGCCATTACAAACACTTTCAGCGATCTTTTGGGAGGGTGGCCCTCCAACTGATATTGCAGATCGCGTGAACGCGTCTTACCCCAATTCGTTGCTCAAGTTAGTGCACAAACGCGTCACAAAGGATATCGCTGAAGCGGATAAGTGCGTGACTACATATCTTTTCCCAATTGCTTGATTGAGGAGAGATTTAGGGAGCTTCTTGACGGACTGCGAAAACGGGGCTTCAAAACAACGTTGGGCGACGACGATTCTGGCTTTCTGCTTATGGCATGGAATAAGGGGGGAGGATATTATCTCGGTTGGTCCATTTGCAGACTAGAGCGAGTCCTTGCTGACCATAATGCTAATATCAGATGTCGGAGCTTCACAGATGATCATCGACGGAAAGATCAAACTGAAGAGCGACGGGCCAATCTTGCGCTTTACCCAGACAGGTTTGCTTTTCGAAGACGGTTCCACTCTCGATGCGGACGTGGTCGTCTTCGCTACTGGGTACGCTTTTCTTACTGATTAATAGACATCGCGGTTTATATTATCAGTTACGCTGATGCACGTCATGCCTATCGTGCGCTGCTTCCGGAGTCTCTGCATGACAAGTTGTATCCTATCTGGGGCCTTGACAAAGAAGGAGAGCTGAACAGTGTCTGGCGCGAAGTCGGCGGGCGCGACAAGGAGGGGGAACTCAATGGTATATGGTGCATGATGGGGAACTTGGCGCTTTGCAGGTTCCACTCTAAGCATGTCGCATTGCGTAAGTTGTTTTCTCTGCTCCTGAAGTCGGTTTGATGAGCTTGATGAAATTCAGAAATCAAATCATACGAAGAGGGGATTTTCGGGACAAGGTATCAGTGAAGACGCGAAACGTCCACGTATGTTGTATTAGTATGACAGGATTTTGTTCTCAATATCTGCCTATGACGGAGGCAGGCCGTGATTCCGGCAGTGGCACTTTGTGAGCAGGAATTGTAGGGAGGGAGTTGTTATGCATGTGATGTGTTAGGGAGTTTTCTTGGGCGTTGGACCTGGTGGTGAGAATTTCGCCTTCGGATGCCAGTGGAGGGATTTCGAGTGCACTTAGTACTGGGTCCTGCCCCTTGTTCTGGCGAATGTGAAGAGACACTAACGTGCACCCACCTGTGTGTCACCATATATGTTACTTATTAGTAATACTGATGTTATCGGATGTTTGCTACTAACTAGGGGCGATAACCTGTGCTGCGGTGCTTCAGCACGTTCCACAGCACTCAGCAGTCACCTTGGTGAGGGGAATAAATAATAAAATGTATATTTAATAAGCTTAGGTATATTTAGCGTACTATCTATTTATGGGTCCTCGGAACTTGCCGCTGTTACCCCACAGCATGTCACGTACCTTGTCCGCTGTTTCCCACGTTCGCTACACCATCGAGCTCATCGTTCCGCACGATGAGCTCGATATCTACCTCAATTCTCATGGTTTCAAGGCACGCCTTTTGCTATATATGTTACTATTATTATTCTGGCCTTCATAAAAGTATTGATGGCCTATCATTGGTAAGTTTTATTGCTTAGTAATACCTTATTTCACTCTTACTCCTACTACGCTGCAGGTCCGGACCGCATAACAAGGCGCTATGGGGCGCAAGAAAATGTCGACGTCCTCGCGTGTGAGGATGTCGGTTCTCAAATCTTCCAACTCTCTCTCCACAACAACAGCCACGCTCACTCAAATTCGACGTGAGCGCTTGGACGCTGAACGTCGTCGTGCAGAATTAGCCAATCGTATGTATTCCATTCTTCCTACCTCTTTTATTACTAACCCAGATCCAAGAGAACACCCAACGGATGCGCACCCTCATTGCAGAGGCCCAACTAGAAGTTGGACCTGACCACGAGGATCCTATGGACCACTTCGATGATTCAATGTACGACGACAGTGGAGATCAGCATAACGAGGATGATGGAGAAGCTCTTGATGTACCGCTTACCTCTCAATTCCTCGCGACGGCTGCTCAGCAAAGGTAGGTACAACAGCTGTTTAACTTCATGTCTGCTAACATGTTTTTAGAGGTATAGTCCACCACCGGCGCTATGACAGAAGAACACGAGCTCAGCGCAACCTTCACGCTCACACTGCGTGGTCTGCACAACTCCCCACCCTCATTGATGCCTACCTGCTTTGGAAGCATGGACCACGCGAGTCTGATGCAGAAAATCGCACTGACCATATGTTTGATGTTCGTTGCATTGGTATAACTGGTATGTCTTCTAAGCCTTTGCGTCATGAGATCTTACACTCGGTTGTTACATAGATTTCGAACCCAGTCTTTCTGTTTACCAAAGACTCGATGAGCCAGCAAATGCCGCACTGTTGCGTTTGGGCCTCCTTGGGTGCTCTCCTGTCCAGCCCACAATTGCCATATGCCTCGAATGCCTAGAGCTTTACCATCAAATTCGGCGCCGACAGTCATCGTTCAGTATTCAAGCTATTACAAGAGTCCTTTGTGCCCTCCACAACGTAAGTAATTAAATGGCCTCGTTTGATCTTGTGTTAACTCACCCTGCAGGTGACATATTCTTCTTCATTACGAAGTCAATTTACTATAGCGTTTGATATCTATCTTCAGATATTGCACACTGTTCGACAACAGGTTAATACTGCGCTTAAGAGGGATCTGAAGGACTGGCACTTCCAAGGTGCCTGCCCATGTTGCGCATTTGAGGTATGTAACACCTTCACGCATTTTTTCTTGTTTAACATCTCAAGTGTTTAGCAACCGCACGAACTCCAGCTTATCCCGCGACGTTTACATAGCATGGACGGGAACTTTTCAGCGAAATGTATCGACGGCTCAGGATCGACGGACCCTCGTGTCTTCCACAGTGATTACTTCATTCCTGAGGCTGCCGTTGAGCACTTCAAGGATGACGTGAGAAATCGCCCTGGTCAACGCTCTCCTCATCAAAATACCAGCTGCACCAATAATTGGACCGCAGCCAGATCTGTTGAAGAGGCCAAGATATCCGTCTTCGAGCAAACAGGAATTTTCATCATGGCATGCCGCCATGGCCTGGTGGAGTGCATTGTAGAAATGAAACAAAGTGGCGAACTGTACGTCATGCCATTAACTAATGTTGTGGGTAGTTTAACGATCTTAAAATCACGTCAGCGCGAAGTACGGACTCGCTGCAGTTGATCGGTTGCTGGATAGCTGTGGGAGCCTTCAGGGTCTCGGTCATGACATTGGTTGCGCATCACGCAAGACTATTGCCGCCAGTTCCATTGGGGCAAAGGCAGAGGAGTTGAATCTCATTGTCGCTGTCAATGCCTTCCACGGGTACGCCCACAACCGCCGTTGCCAGCTACTAAACCACCCCTTGTATCTTGATGGCTTTGGCATCGAAGACCTCGAAACCTGCGAACGCATCTTTTCAAGCTCAAATAGTGTTGCCAGCCTCATTCGACATGCGTCTTATTTCCATTGGACTCAATTCATCGACCTCCACTTTAATCAATGGGATCAAGATAAGTACATGGAATTGAGTCAGTCTCGTTTTTAGCGTAGTGGTGTGTAGCTAATTGAAACGACAAATCAAGGTCGCTTCTTGCACAACAATTACGTGCAGGCGCTTCGGATCATCAACGAATACACGCCGTTGCTTCATGCATTCAAGACCCGCACATCTTTCTCAGATGAAGATTTTGTCAGATGGAAGGCTGAAGAATCTGAGTTTCTCACTAACTTGGCACTTGAGCCGCCATTTGATGCATTTGCTGTTGCATATGTTGAGGAATTGGAGAAACTTCGATCCATGGAGTTTGTCCGTTCCTTATTTTAAAATTGATCTAACTAAAACTTGATTACAGGGCAAAGTATGGGAGTGTCACGAGCGTCCCTTTTCTCACATACACTCCGGCAAACTTTACGCAATCGTCAGGCCTCGATGCTACTACTCGCGACAGTTCTAGGGCTGTCGAAGCTGAACGCGCATCAGCCTTACAACGACTCCAATTGCAAATGAACGTTGTTGACGACTTTGAGTGCCATTACGGAATCAACAAGCGCTGGGTATCTTCTGACCCTCAGTATATTCAGGCACGTGAGTACTGTAGCCAGCGTCGCTTCACTCGGGCCGTCGAGCAATTAGAAGGACTTGTCATTCAACGTTTGTTTGAATTATCGAGGGCTAATCTGTCTGGCACCGGTGCGGTTTTTTTTAATCATTCATGCTTTTATTTAATCTAGACTAGGATACAAAATGCGAAAGCATATTTCAAAAGCAATCGCTCGAAGATCTGGAGCTATTCGGACCGCCCTCGAGAAGTATAACACACTGGCACCAATCCAAGTTCCGCCCCGACCAACTCTCGACTATACGGAAGTTGTCGGGTACGTGTCACTCGGCGAATTCGCACTCTTGAAATATTCACGTCGCGACATCCTTGCTAAGCCATGGGCTGTTCCTGAAAATAGGGAGATGGCGGCTAAGTTCTTTAAAGTTTTGCATTCACATGAAGAGCTTATGCGCTTGAACATCGAAATCAGTCGTCTCAGCGCTTGGGTTGACTTCGAAGAGAAGGAGATACTATCAGCCATAGACGCCCTGAATGCTGTGGACTCAGACTTGCTCGCTGCAGAGTTGCAGATGCACTATGTGCAACAGCACAGATTGAACGATGTGCACCGCGCCCGTCTACATCGCACCAGCCAGCTATCTGGTTATACTGGACCACCCCTATTTGCGCTCCTGGAAAGAGAAGAGACAGATGATGAAGGAGATGACGAGGATGAGGACGAGGGCAGCGATGAACTCCTTGATGAAGCCTCTAGGCTTGAAGACACCATTTCGCGTATTGTACTGCAGTAGAACAGCATTTGATGATGTATTTACGAGCAATAATGATGCATATTGATGTGCGCTACTACGATTTTGATGTTTGAATCTCAATTGAATTATTTTCGAATCTGAGATACTACAATAGATCTAATCAATCACGGTCTGAACTCTGAGACTATCACAGTGATATACTACGAGAAATCAGAGAACAGTGTGTTTGCATCCCATGTTCATTCAATTAACCAGTCACACGTTCATCACCGCCAATTGTCATCGACTCGTTTCAGAATCATGGCCCATTCGAGTTTACCATGCATAACATGCATTGTGTTCGCTTAGTACTTATGTACTTATGCATGCGTTCGCTTACTCATGTTCAAGACTCAATTAACGTGAGTCGTTCCCCTCTTAACTCTCATCCTTTCATCGTCGTCTCAAAACTTACCTGTCATACTAACAATAGTACACTCATGCGACCTGAATCCGACCGCGAGACATCTCGCATAGACTACCTGGATTTGCATGCTGAATATGTGAGTAGATTTAACATGGAACATCGAATTGCGCTGAAACCTTCATTGCCAGAAACACCTCATCGAAATCAAGATGTGCGCTGAATTCGAATTTGAAATGCAAAACGGTTTACTTTGCGTCATTCCTGCCATCAAGAGCTCATTGCATACAAGTGATCCATTTGTGGCCAGCGACGAGAGCTACATGCTTCACAGCATGTATTCCATCTTCTCGTCATTTGCTGATCTCGTTTGCCATCGCCGGTACAAGTCCCAATGGAACACAGTCGAACTCCCCAAGTCAATGAGACAAAGTAAGTCATTATTCACTTCTATTCAAATTTGACTAATAATCAGTGTGGCTAGGGCTAGCGAAGCTGGATGACAACCAACAGAAGCCCTCAACTCGATCTCTTGACGAATCATCATATGTCTTTCCCGACCCTCTTGTCTCTATGCCCGATGTACAGCAGCTCTCCACCCACATGCCAACCATCTCAGACGTCGAAGATTGGACACGCGATTCTATGGGATCTGAGTCTTACACATGTTCATCTGCACGCCCTTCCGATGTCATGCCACTTAGTTCCACTCGTTCCTCCCTCCACTCACTTTCAGATGATGGCCATGAACTCAAGTTATTGGGTGAACCCGTGTATAGGACCTCTACCACTCGGCAGCCTCAAATTACTTCTACAGAAAACGTGCCTCAAACACTGATGCACCATCAGGCACGCAACTTGGTGGCAGACAGTCCGCCTCACCTTTGTGGCCCCACTCAATGTAAGCAACGCAGTATGACATCAGTGCTACGTGCATCTCGGTCGCTGCCTCAAACCACGTCTTCGGAATCAGTGCAGCATGGCTCACAGGTGAGCCGAACTATTTTTTTTCATTCAACTGTGATCAGGACTCATGTTATTGTGCATCTCTGTCACTTTCCACAACACAGCCTCTGAGTCCTCCTCCATCCCGTGAATTCATTATCTCGCCACGTTCACCTCCCGTGAAGTTCCGCGGACCTCCGTTGACAACACAGCCTCCGAGTTCTCCATCACGTGAATTCGCCATCTTGCCACGTTCACCTCCCTTGAAGTACCGCGGATCTCCGTTGCTACCTCAAAACACGTCTTCAGAATCAGTGCAGCATGGCTCACAGGTAAGCCGATTTATTTTTCTCATGCTTTGTTATTAAACTGTGATTAGGGCTCACGTTATGGCACATCTCCATCACTTTCCACAACACAGCCTCCGAGTCCTCCTCCATCCCGTGAATTTGTCATCTCGCCACGCTCACCTCTCTTGAAGTACCACACGTCTCCGTCGCTGTCTCAAGTCCCTCAACCTGAGGTGTCTGGATCAGTGAAGCATGGCTATGACTCAAAGGTGAGCTTCTTTTTCTTTTTCTTTTTCTTTTTCATTCTTCGTTACATTAATTGTGGCAGGGCTCATGTCATCCACCACGTGCCAACGATGGGGATCCGCATTTTGTGCCGATCCAGTCAGCAGTGGGCGGGACCGAGGAAGGCGTGTCCATCACAAATCATTTCTACTTGATGGCACCCAATAACCTGACCATTCCACATGATGCTGGTTCAGCTCGAATTTCTGCTGAAATCAAGACTGTCCTTGGCTCGGACAATGTAACCTCCTTCGTCGCGGACGAGATCTGGAAGTGTATTCGACAGAACGAAGGATACAAGCCATTGTCTTGGCATGCTAACCTTGTTAAGTTAGACATCCCCTCCGAATGCATTGGTCCGCTACTTGAAGTGATGGCACGTGCATCCAATGAACGCCGGCTCGGTTAGTGTTACGTTCTTTTGTACCAAGCCATGCTGATTCTTTATTAGTTGACTAGCATGCATTTTTTCCGTGTTAAATTTGTGTTGTATCTGGGCCCTGATCGAAGGCCATCAATTTACTTTTTGTTTCCCTGACTTCGGCTCAAATTTTATAAGTTAGTGCTATGTTGCAAGACCAGGGCAAGTACATAGTTTGCCGTTTTCCTCATTTTTCTCTTGACATCTTGCACTATGCCACGAGTTTCTACAGGTCGTGCTCGCCGTCCACGTGCAAAGCTCACATCTACTCAGAAAGCAGAGAGATGCAGCCGGCAAGAGGCTTTAGCCAGTGCCATTAATACCGCACAGTCAGCTTATGCAGAAGAAGCCGCACATATTGCAGAGACGCATGGCCGGTGAATTTTTCCGCTTCATTGCTATTTAATCCAACTAACATTAAGTATGTAGTTCTCTCAAATGGACGTGTGGACAGCTCTTCCTGAAGAGCCGCATGCTCCACCAGCAGTGTGGCGTTAATTCCTGGAATGCATTTGTTAGGGCAAAGTTGAATGAAGTGAATCAAGGTATATGACATTTGTTTGTTTCTTCCAGTGTTCTGTTCCTAATATTTTGACCAAGATCGAGAGCAAGGTGACCGCATCAAACTCACAAGATTTATTGCCGAGAACAAAGACGAGCTCACTCGTGCACATGCTCGATTGTCTTCTGCTGAGAAATGGGTCTACAATGCCCAAGTCATTGAAGCACGCAAGCAGAAGAATCGAGTGGCACGCGCTAATCCCAAGGCCATTCTACACGACATCAATGCAACTTTTACTTCTATGGACCGCGAGGCATGTATTCTATTATTATTGGTGCAAATCTAACTGTTCCTTTATCATCTTACAGTGGATGGCTCTCTGCGCTCGTACTGGCGCAGAGGGATTTTATGTTGCAGTTCGCAGCAGCATTGAGGATCTTTCAGAGCCGAAGTTGTTCTTCACTGAGAAGGCTGAGAAGTTCGTTAAAGAGGTGCTTGATGTGGAGCCCTGTCACCTTGGTTTGAAGCTCGAGTCTTACATCGTCAGCGGCCTTCGTAAGTTTCGTCATGTTCTGGTTGTTTCATGCTAAACTAAACGTCTCACAGACGAGCACACTGCACCTCACCGCCAACGTCCATTAAATAAGCTTGTAAGTGAGTGCCGTACTTTTATTCAGGAAGGCCTTGGTACATCGTTTTCATTTCGAGCATCTTACTATTTATTAATGTTGGACCTTAGATTCAATCACCCTCGAGACGAACATCAGACACAAAGTGAAAATGAATTATACCAACTACGAACGCAATATCGTCGAGCGCTGTGGCATAGCCCTGATTAATTGGCCTCTGTCTGGCCCCGTCTGCAATCCGAGCAAGGCTGGTGGAAGAGTCGAGCTCAACAAGTTAACAGACGCTCTCAAATCACACACCTGTCACTGGGTAACACTCACAGACGAGGAGCGTGCGACACGGATGAAAGAAAACCGTCTCCGCCAAGCTCGAGGGGAGGGCATATATGTGGCAAGGAAGCAAAAGGGGGCCGCCGCCTCAAAGTATAAAAGCCGCGATGCTGTTGTTTCAACTTCAGAGGAAGAATCAGAGGGCAGCGACACCAGTGACACTGACATTAGCGCTGTTGATGAGTAGAGTACTTAAACCATTGTGTTCCCGCGTCGTCATAACAATCAATATATGTCATTGATCTCTGCAATAAGGATGTATAGTACTTCATGACGGCCAGAATAATAATAGTAACATATATAGCAAAAGGCGCACCTTGAAACCATGAGAATTGAGGTAGATATCGAGCTCATCGTGCGGAACGATGAGCTCGATGGTGTAGCGAACGTGGGAAACAGCGGACAAGGTACGTGACATGCTGTGGGGTAACAGCGGCAAGTTCCGAGGACCCATAAATAGATAGTACGCCAAATATACCTAAGCTTATTAAATATACATTTTATTATTTATTCCCCCCCACCAAGGTGACTGCTGAGTGCTGTGGAACGTGCTGAAGCACCGCAGCACAGGTTATCGCCCCTAGTTAGTAGCAAACATCCGATAACATCAGTATTACTAATAAGTAACATATATGGTGACACACAGGTGCGTGCACCCTTCTGCATGCGAACAGCAGCGCATTCCGGATAATACTCTCTCACGCTATCATGCCCATATTTGACAGGCCCCTATTCCCCCTGCTCCCTTGCAACGGCCATCATGTCTAAAGCCTTCGATGATAGCGCACATGCACCTCCATCGTATGACACAATTTCTAGTACGTCCGTATCAGCAGACTCCGTCTGGTGCAAACGATCGTTATTTTCATTCCTACAATCCAAGCGAAAATGTCGTGCCATAGCTCTCTCTCGCATCCGTGAAATTGTCTCCTCTCCATCAGGAAAACCCTCCTGGGCTAAATTTGCATAAATTTGCAGAATTCGCAAAATTCGCAAAATACATCAGGAAAACCACTGGTCCCTTTTTCCCACTTATGTTACTTTTTATTAATAAATCCAACTGAAAACACTGCTTTTCCCACTTAATTGACTTTTGCAAAAGTGTATTAAGACACACTTAAGCTCACAAGTCCAGACCACCAAAAAAAGCGAGAAAAGTTGTATTTACACAATAAGTAATAAAAGGTATTAGTACTCTAGTAGTACTAAGTCACCCGTGCTCCTCGCCATTAATCCAAGTCGCGGTTCGAACGTTGGCCATTGCATGTCGATGTTTCCGTGGAAGAGGTAGGTCCATCAAGGCCAGCGCTAAAAGCGCTGACCTCACCTTGAACGATGTGTTCAACCGATTCCTTTTCACAAGTAGACCCAGGATGCACCTTCTCCTGCGTGACCAGCTCTGGGACCTTGGCGCGGATAGCTTCCAGGTAACAAAGCGCTGTCTGCAGAACGCTGCCTGATGTACGAGAGTGACAAAGAACCTCGTGGACAAACCCTTTCATTGGCGCAGTGTTGGTAGTTGGGTGTGCACCCTTGAGGCCAAGCATCTCGAGAACGGAGCCCTGGGGACCAAGAACAGTACCTCCACCAACAGTGCCAACCTCAATCGAGGGCATAGATATGGTCATAAGCAGATCTTCGCCATCGTTAGTTCTACCAATAGTCATCAGTATCACACAATCAGGTGATGTTAATAGCGACTTACGGCTCCATGAGGGTCATACAATTTGAACTCTCCACGTTCCTGACTTGTAGCCAAGAAAACGGCAGTAAGGATGTTTGTGGCATGGGCATCGAAACCACTGATCGAACCAGCCATAGCACTTCCAACCAAGTTCTTCTTCATGTTGAGATTGCAGAGTGCCTCAACCGTAGTCTTCAGCATGCTCTTGACAACCCTCCCAGGAATGACAGCCTCAGCCACCACACTCTTCCCGTGTCCCTCAATCCAGTTGATGGCAGCAGGTTTCTTGTCCGTGCAGTAGTTCCCTGATAGCGCAAGCGTGATCATCTCCGGGTAATGCTTCTGAATAACCTCAAGCGCCTTTTCTGTGCCCTTGGAAATCATGTTCATACCCATGGCATCACCAGTGCGTGTTGCGAACCGAACAAAGAGGGTACGACCAGCCATGGCAGTCTTGAGGCGTTGAAGCTTGGCGAAACACGACGTCGAATTGAATGCCTCGCGGATGATCTATACCGTGGATCAAAAAGTGAAGTGTCAAGAACGCGTAGTGGGCGGGCAGGAACTCGTCGCATGCGGTGTTGTTGTTGACACATTGTGTTGATCGGTGCTTGAGGCGAATGTGACACGTCCATCACACATGTGACGTGTTGACGTGTCTGGTTAAATTTTACCTTAGCAAATTACAAGCAGACCAAGCAGACTGCTCAGGTCCTCCACCATGGTATTGTTCGTTTGGCTGTGACTTCGTTCCTTCAATTATCGGCATCATTGTCTAGTACTGTGTGTGAGTGGACTTTCCTGACGATTTCGATATTGACTTGTATTGACAGGGCGGGCATCAAGAAGATGCAGAAGAATTCCTAGGATTCTACCTCGACACGCTTGAAGAAGAGCTTCTAATGCTCTCCTCATCACTCACCAACCCCAACCAGGCTCCAACTCAGCAGAACAACAACGCCCCAGCAAACAATGTGCAAGAAGAGGGCTGGCTCGAGGTGGGCAAGCGTAACCGCACCGTCCTGTGCAAGTCACCTCTGTAACACGCCCAGGGGCAACCCTCGATGCAACCCAACAAGTCCACATCGACTCCCTCCCTCTGATCCTCATCCTCACGCTCGTGCTGCTGCCAATGGCAACAATGAACTGTCTGCAGGGGCACTCGTGTTCTGTTGCTTTTGTCAACAAAGTAACAACCATGTACTGTCACATGGACACTTTGCATTGGGTAAGCATTTCTGATGCTTATAGCAAGTGACGTGCAGGACTAACTTTGTTCATTTGTAGAATGAATACATCCAATGAGCCATCTTCCTCGCCCCTTCAACCCATATTGTCTCCTCCTCACACATCACAGGTTCCTCAGCCCACGCATGACCTACACCTCTGGCGTCATCTTAGACGCTAACAAAGACACCTCCCTCGAGAACTCCAAGGTTACAAACTCCATCTCGTTTGCTCAAAATCTCGCTGAATCTAGCGCTGCTGCAGGATGCGAGTCGTTACTATACCATTATACAATCGCTGCTATCCTAGTACAGTAGATTTCCATCCTCATCATCCGCCCCGCCATTTTCTGCCCACATGCCCACCCCTTCCCCCCTAGTATGTTTGGCTAGCCCCTGACTTTTTATTTCCAGGAGTCTCCTTAATTTATGCTTATTTTGCTTTCTTGTATGCCGGGGCCCTTTTCAATGACAGGCTTGTGCTGCTTTTTCTGCTTTTTTAAGTGAAATAAGTGTGAAAAAAGCGAAAATTCAGAGATGGAGTGGGCTTAATTAAGTGGCTCGCACTTTTCACTCAAATGACTTAATTGTCCTTTTCATGTAATTAAGTGATTAATAAAGTGAGATAAGCAACCAGTTGTTTTCCTGATGCTATCGCAACATTTCGTTAATTCTATCTAATCGCTCGTGTTTAGAAACAAATTAGATTACAACATTAATGTAGGATATGAATATTTGAAAAAACGAGACGAGCTTGAGCGGATTATCTAGAAATTGACGAATCGAAGCATTATTATAAAAATGGAGTTTATGGTGGTTACTTGGAAGCAGAAGGTAAGTTCAAGTTTGGAGGCTTTTTGAGAGATGGGTTCGGAGATTGGAGGTGGTTCCTTGGAAGTAGAAGGTAAGTTTGGAGGCTTTTTGAGAGACGGGTTTGGAGATCGTGCTGGAAAAATGGGGAATGACTGGGGAAAGGAATTAGTACTTTGAAGTAGAAGGTAAGTTTGGAGGCTTTTTGAGAGACGGGTTTGGAGATTGGGCTGGAAAAACGGGGAATGACTAGGGAAAGAAATTAGCAATAATCATTTGAATATTGAAAAGGTATGTTTATCAATGTACGAATTCAACCAGAACGTGCTACAGTCTTCGAGAACTGTCTCGCTCATCCACTCTTGTGGAGCTATCTCCCCAAACCTAGGTATAAGGTGGACACTGCGCACGATATTTCCCGCCGGCACGATACTAGCCACCATTTCACCACCGTGCATCAATCTTGAGAGTTTATATAGTCCGTTGTGTCTGTCAGGAGCGGATGAGAAGGGACTAAACCATTCGATGTATGCAAGGTGAGCAGGAACATAGACCGTCGGCAGGAAGAGCAACAGTATTGATTGTGGTGGTAAGGAAAAGATGGCTCGAACTTGGCTGACACGGAAACCTAGAGGAGTCGGTAAACAGTGAGTAACGTGTTACATTGACCAACAGCGCTTATTCACGTACCTTTGAGATCATTTGTATACGAGTCTTCACCAAGGCTGACTAGAGCAGTATCAGACCGATGAGCAACTAGACGAGAGCCCAACCTCTGTTGGGGTTTTGAATGGACACTATCCAAGGTGACATGTGCCTCGCCATGACCATGAGCATCAATCGAGCACCATTTGATCTTATGGAATACGGGCAATTTGGAGAACGGGAAATGGACATTGTGTGCCAAGTTTTCGAGTGCTTGGCCTCGCAGAGGCACAGGATTGTTGCCTTGACTGTGGTGTGCAATGTAATGCGCGAGGGCATCACGAAAATGAGTAGCACCATAGTCTTCAATTAGTTTTTGAATGCTAACGGCCCTCATGCTTGGGTGCTTCGTCATCACTAGTTCACGACTGAATGTCATATCGGGTGGGCGTGAATGGTAGGGCTCTCCATGGATCGCTTCTGGTAGCTTGTTACCTCGAGACCTTGAAACCTTGCCACCTCAATACCTTGACAGTCGTACCGCTAGATATCTGTTCTGTCAGGACCGCCTTCCGTCCGGACATTCTCCTTCTTACGCCGGACTCTCTTTCGCACATCCACCGCACAGATCATAAGCCCGTCGGATTGATTCCTTTGCATTTATTGCGAAGACTTCCTTCAGTAGCAATCCCTGTTACGATAACATACTTCGGACCGGCCCCCCTATCTTTTCTCCTATCATGTACTACCATATGACGCCTTATCACCTTCTTGTACAGCATCCTTGATAGCCGTCTTATCTCGTATCTCTTATCTTGTACCCTGTACCCTTACCATTGCCTCGGTAGTCTTGCCCTGAACTGACCTTTACCTATAAGTAGTCGATCATCTTGTCTAGTATTCTCTAACTTGAATCAACTCAGTCATCTGATAGACCTTCCTTGAGCAAGACAGCTCTCGTATACGATTTCACTAAAGACTCTTCGTCTTAGTGTCTTTACTTGATCGATACCATCAGTCTTGTCTTCGCTTGCCGACTTTCGTCACCAAGCTTTGACCCAAACGATAACGATAAATGAACCTCTGCATTATCTTCATCTCACGTTGAGACTTAGTACAGAGCTCTTACCTGAGTCTACGCTTTCAGCGTAACAATCCCCTTGGGATGAGCAATTATACTCACACTCATACAGATCGGTAGTCTACTCCAACAGGCTACACAGAATCACTTACGCTCACCGGGCAAAAGCTAACAAGGTACAGACTACCCGAAGGTAGAGGCGGAGGGATTTAGCCTTCAGGGATATAATCCCGAGGCTCGGAGGGTCGGACTAGGATGACAATCCTAAGAGCTGAGAGAACACGAGGAATGAACAGAGTCTAAGATGATATTCAAACTAAGGAAATACTACGGGTTACAAAGGGTTTATATACTATAGTGTATCCGACGGGTATCCGGCCGAAGTGCAGTCCTTGGAACATAAGGCTATGTAGGAAATGTACTAGCAGACAAAAACACACTGCGGATGATCAAGAATGGAGCCAGATATTAAATGGAACAAAGGGAACAAGTTAAATGAAAAGGAAATGAATTAGAGTTTAAAAGTCCGGTTAAGTCCGGTCTTTTGCCTGATTTGGAGGCAACCGGACCAGGACCGGTCTTTTTATTCCCACAATATCAGCGAACCTGGACTGGACCCGTAAAGACCGATGTTTGTGGTCTTTTGCGGTCCTGCAACCGGTTTTAGACCGGTTGCCACCACAACCGGTCCTGTGGCAGTGTAGTACCCCTTCCCACAATTCCAACGGTCTAATTTTTGTAGTAAACGGTTAAGATCTGAGCAAGATATGAGCATTATAAAAAAGGGTTCCTAAACTCCACCTTGCATGTGAGTCAAATATGAAATGTCATTACTATGCTTAAGTTTCTTGACGAAATATGTGCTGCTAGTCAAGGCGATACTATAGCTAGTATTATCTTGTCAATAGGGTAAGATATAAGCAAGATATAAGCTTGACAAACAACCGTTATCAGGCTTGTCTTTGAAAAATAAAAGTTGTTATAAAGGTTAGGTGTCTTGACAAAATATGTGCTGCTAGTCAAGGCGATACTATAGCTACTCGTATCTTGTCAAACACTCAAGGTTTGGGTAAGTCATGAGCCAATCAGTGATTTTGACTGACTTTGACTCGCCGTTCTAACATGTCTGATCTTTGTGCTAGTCTTGGAGCATGATAAATCATCAAGAGTTATCTAAATTTGATGTTCCATACCATTTTTGAGGTCTACGAACACACTGGTAAAGGTTTTTAAGCTTGGAAATCAATCCCTGGTTCAGTGCCAACAAGCCTAAAAACACGCCCCACAGATTTATACGAGCCATTTTTAAAATGCTTGTAACTTTCCCAAATCTCAACTGGTTTTGAAGGTCAGACCACTGATAGAATTGCCTAGATGAGTACTACCCATATATAGGCAACCAGTCCCACAATGGACCGGTTCAAACTGGTCTTGGACCGGTCTTTCATTTTTCGCAAAAGTTAGGCAACTGCAACCGGACTTTTCTGGACCTGAGGCAACTGGCAACTGAGGTCCGGTCTTTTTCGGTCCGGTTTTGGTCTGGTTGCGGTCTTTTTTCGGTCTTGCAACTGGACTTTTAAACTCTAAAATGAATAGACTAACAGAAGGATCAGAATGGAACCAGATATTAACTGTCAGAAGGATCCAGGCACATAGGGGCAGAAAGAAGTGTATACAAATGGGGACTCAGGGGAAATGAATTCTAGACTGGGCCCGAGGGACCGGGTGGACCGGACCGGATGAGAAGGTTCAGGTACGGGATATGACACCACCCTAGTATCAATGTCAATGTCACACAAATACCATTGGGTGGGTCTGATGACTACACAGAAAATCTACGCCAGCTCGTGACCCACAATGTTGTGAGGTTTATGGTCGAAAGAACCAGGAAGATATGGACCCACTGTAGCAGTTAGGTTTGGCCAGGGGAAAGGGCCAGGGGTCTGCCAGGGGTGCCAGGGGTCTTGCCTGGGCCTCGAGGCACTCAGTAGATATACTTTGTGCATGTCTGTAGCTATTTCTCACCCATTCCAGTTGCTTTGTCCTTTGCATTTGGTTCGAGTCCGATGCCTCTGTCTCTCTGGCACCGTTCCACCACTGCCTCAACAGCAAGTCCGTGAATGGTCCAGGTATCGTCATCTCGAAACACGGCCCATTCCCAAGTTCCACGCCATAGTGCAAGAAGGAGGTCGCTAAGGTTGCCTGCAAGGTGCATTGTATCAGTTGTCATACAAAATGGAACTCTGAGGCAACAAGATGGACTGAGGCTGAGAATGAGTGGGTGTTTGGTAAGAGTGGTCTCTGTTTTCCGTATGTCTAATTGCCGCGGAAAAACTTAATACTGGATACAAAATGTGGGAGTTTCAATTATATACATTCGGTCTTGCTCTGCTCTACAATGTCCTCCCCAAGAAATATTGGATTCACCATTGCCAGCTCATTTGTGCCTTCCAGCTGATGTGCCAGTACCAAATCAGCTCCAAAGATTTGCAAAATGCCCACACACTTTTCTGTACATGGGAATGTGACTTCAAGCTCTACTACTACCAACAAAAGGAAGACCAGATTCACTTTGTGCGACCCTGTGTTCATCAGACGAGCCATATCATATCAGAGACATTGCGGAAAGGCCGCCCATCTGCTATGCCCAGTGGACAATGGAAAGAACCATTGGTAATCTGGGACAAGAAATCTGTCAGCCATCTATCTAATCCCTACACAAATTTATCACAAGAAGGTGTACGTCATTGTAAGGTCAATACTCTGCTCTCTGTCATTCCGGAACTCGACAAATCTACTAATGGCCTACCTGATGGCGCGGTGGACCTCGGTGGTGGTTATGCATTATTACGCAAACATGATAAGACTTCAAAGCATCCAGTTTGGGTGTACGCGCATGCAATCACCACTTTCCTTGGAGATTGGCCTCTCCCTCACATCAAGCAATGGGCACGATTACATTTACCCAATGGACAGATTGTGTGTTCTGCTTAGAGGGAAGCCTTGAAACCAATCGAGCAGACTCGGATATCTCGCAAAGTTAAGGTGTGCATCTAAATTAGTTTATCAATATCAATATCCTTTAATCCCAACTGTACTTAGCTCAAATTCAATGGCCAGGTGTGGTTTGCAGAAGTCCTGTACTTCACACATTTAGCCATAGTAGAGGACCACAATGAAAATGCTTGGCATGTTATTGATATCACAATGGTTCAATTGTATTCACCTCCTGACACCACGCTCCTCAAACTATCCCCGCAAATGGTTGCCTCATGCATGCTTCTTGATGAGACTGTAGCTGTCACTATCAACAATATCTTGAGCATAGTCGCTATGATCCCTCACAAACCAACGATGCTGTCAGGTATTACAGAGGACCGGTGTAGAGAGTTATATCTCTACAGGCTCGTATCCCCCCATTTATACATCGACCTCATCCCTATCCTCAGGTATGCACAGTCCTATAGAGACATGCATGACACACGCGACCTTCCGCGCTCTTCTGCAGAGCACGCGACACATCAGCAACATTCTGCACCCTTCCGCAGCCCGGCACATTGATAGGAATACCCTCCCATGTCCTGTCCTGTCTGTCCAGTACCGTTGGTGCGTACTCTCACTGTCATCTCCGTCTCTGACCACATCCAGGGTCTTGTTACATATTGTTACATACACATCCGCTCCCTATACACTTCCACGCAGCCTATCCGCTTCCCTTACATTTCATTACCCTGAGAGCGCGCATAGCGACCTACATATCTAGAAGGCTCAGAGGATTTCAGACTTACTTTACTTTTCCCTTACTTGGACTCACTATCTGTTTTCTGCTTAGTTGCGCATAGAGCGCTAATAACATCACTGCATTTGTCTATCATCTTCCTAGTCTTGTGAAGGCTTGTCTTCCAGTTCAAGGAGAGTTCCTACTGTCTTCCGCCATTGTCCCTCTACTCCATGCATACCGTGTGTATTCCGACTCTTCCGCATAACTCGCGCTGTGTGAACAACAATCCTGCTGAGCTGCAGGGAAATGTTGGGTCTTGCTGGCCTAGGCTAGTTCAACCCTAAAGGGTCTCTGCTCTAGGCTCAGTGCTCAAGGAGAGAGAAACAGACAAGGAAACAAGACAAAAGGACCGGGGACTTTCAGACTGATACTGGTACTAGGTCAAAACTTCATTTGATTATGTCAGCAGTAAGAGTACCAACATAAAGTAAGTAAATCATCAATTGTGAGGCCAGAGAAAGAATGTTTGGTACAGCGCGTTCCACGCGTTCATCGTACCAGCCCCGCGCGCCTTCGTGCTCATCCGACTTGAGCCTTTCTCTTGATCCCTCTCATCATTTAGAGAGATTGCCTCAGTAGCATCCCCTAAGGGACGAATCTACTAAGCTCGCCTCTTGAGGTAGATATCCTTGTGACTCTCCGGAGTTCACATCTCTATTTCCTCACCCACACCGGGTTTTTGCGTTAGAGAAGCCTGGGTTAGACATATTGAACCTCGGAATACATACTGAGGAGGAAGATGATGATCTGGAGGCTGACACAGAAGCAGAATAGTACAAAGATAACATTTGATGTACAACAGCAGGTATAATACAATTGTTCATGCAAAATTACCTTGGGGTAAACACTCGTGGATCTAAAGATGTGCATCAAAAAAAAAAAAGTACAGATTCTCAAGACATGCCTAAAAAAACAGCCTAAAACAGTCACAACTCTTCTTCTTCAAACTTCCTTCACTTCACTCTCACAGCCTCAAGCTCCACAACCCTGTGTGGAATCTTGGATGCTTCAAACAGTCTCACAATGTGACGCCAAGGGCACTTTTGTGCACGTAGGATGTCCCATGTTGCGGGGTCAGGATTTCTGGTGTGCTGACCCAAGTGCATGCAGGGGGAGACTGGGCATCTGTGGTAGTATGACCTCAAACTTGTGAGCAAATAAATATGGACTCATATGATGCACCTGGTCAGGACTCCATCTAGTGATTCCGCATCCTCGTCCTCATCCTTGACTTTCACGTCAGATATGTCCTCCACATCAGCTACCATGGTATCCTCCTCCTTGAACTTGATGGCATCATTTCTTTGACCTCTTGCTTCAACTCGGTCTCCGTGGGCTTGGAGTCTGGTTCTTGTGGTTGGTGGACACATAAAACAATTGTCTGTTGAATGTCAAAGCTACATATGTATAAGACACATCCAAAGGCAACTTGACTTACCTTGGTTCCAGGAGTGTCAACATTGAGTTTGAAGCAATAGTGGCTCCATGTTGGAAGGACATTATCAATTTTGAGGAAGATCATGTCCCCACAGATGCTGATGGTATCAGTTTTGTTAATAATAATAGAGTTCATAATGAAAGACCAAGGTACACACCAAGTTCATGGGATTGGAACCATGTCAGTACACCTCGGTAAATACCAGCGGAGTTCTAATTTCATATCACTGACATTTTACATGCATAAGTCCTTTCTCTCTAACTAATTATTGGCCTCAACAGTATGTTCGAAAGCAGTCCCTATTCTAGTGGGAGCGCACATCATTTACTTCCAAGTAGTCAGAATCTGCTGCAAAATCCATGTTGGGGAGGAGAGTATTCTTTGGGACCTTCCCCCCTATCTGGCGCATCACCATTACCAGAGCATCCATTTACGGATTCTGCCCCACAACAACGACTCCCACAGTTGAATATAAATATGCCATACACACAGGTAAGCTGATTCTTATAGTGTCTTATCTAATGAAAACTGTTTAAGGCACATATATGCTTGAAAATCAGTAAATATTGGCATTTCAGGAACATTGCAAGGCCCTCGAGCAGCAAATACTCAAGGTCACTACAGAATGTAATACCATCAAGTGAGTCTAGCATGTTTATTATAGTTACATCGCTCACACTGCATGAAAGGTCAATGTTCCAATAACTCGTGAATGCTGTCTCCCTTCCGCACACAGATCCACTCAAACTTGAACCTGCCTCATAAATCCCTCTCCTGGCAACTACTGACATCAAAACAGTAACACACCCTTGTGTTTGATTCTGGATTCAAGATGACTTCCTGGAGTGGTTAGATAAGGCTGCCGAGGCTGAACTTGTCAGTCATGGAAAGGTGGCCTATCTCGAGGATGAAAATGGCAAGCCTGTTTCAGAATTAATGGTGAAAGGCGCACGTAAAGTGGTCTGCAGTGGGTTTTGTGAGCTAACAAATTGTGGCCTTGCTCCGAAGTCATGGGGCAAGCTGTGCATGACTGGACAACATATCTTTCATACCATTGTCGAAAACACTCACCCATTTTTCAAGTTGATGAATGATGGGTGGAAACTTGACCATCTTGCTGGTGCATCATACCCTGCATGGCGCCAAACTCATCTTGATGATGAAGGCAACTGGAAGTTGAAGAAGGGGAGTGATTGTTAAGACCGTGCTCAAAGGGCGGATCCGAAGGGCTTGGCTTCAGCTCGTGCGCTGCGCCCCTTACCCGAGTACGTGCCCTTAATTTCCGAAGGCTAGAAACAAAGTCCGAGGGAGGATGATGAATCCCGGTGGACTTCAAGGGGACAAGTCTGGTAGGCTTTTTGAGGAAGAGTCAGGCCGATGTTCAGGGGGTTAGTCCGGCCGACGTAAGGAGGGTTCGTCGGCCGACGTAAGGAGGGTTAGTCCGGCTGATCATAGGGTTAGTCCGGCTGACATAAGAGGATTAGTCCGGCGGACAATAGGGGCTTAGTACACCCGGAGAATAGGGGCTTTAGTCCGGCGGACGTGGGGGACAGAACAGACAGGTGTAAGGACGGAAAGACAGGAAGTCCGAGAGGACAGGATGTCCGAAAGGACAGAAGGACAGGATGTCCGAAAGGACAGAAGGACAGGATGTCCGAAAGGACAGAAGGTAGAGGTAAGGCTACACTAGACAATGTCTAGAGTAGAAACTGACAGAGGTAGACTACCCGAAGGTAGAGGCGGAGTATAGCCCGAGGAATCAATCCCAGGACACAGAGGTTGGACAGGGAAGTGGACCCGGGCCCATGGAAATGGATCCGGGTCCGAGGAAACAGGAATGAGGATAATCTAAGGTGATATTTGAACTGAGGAAACTACTACGAGTTTACAAGGTATTATATACTATGGACACGTGCGACGGGGACGGAGTCGGCGGAGATCTGGGTCAACAAGAGGAACATACGGAAAGGCTAAACTGACAGGTGCAAGGAAAATAATACAGGAACAGAGATGGAGATGAAGTATCGAATGGATACGGGCATAGGAGGTGTGATCGAGAATGAAGTCGGATATTAACTGTCAAACAGATCCGGGCATATAGGGGTTAGGACAAGGGGACTATACAAATGGGGTAACAGAATAGGAGCAGGACCGGAAATGAACTGTCAAGCGGATCACAGGAAATGGGGACAGAGATGAACTGTGAAGTGGATCCGATGTTTTAGGGGTTAAGTGGACCTGGGTCCGAAGCTCAGGATCTGAGTAGGTCCGATGTTTAGGGTCCGATGCTTAGGGGTTAAGTGGACCCGAGCGGGTCTGACATATAGGATGTCCGACGAATACAGGAGGAGCGGACGAGTGGACGAGCGGACGAGTGGACGAGCGGACAAGTGGACGAGCGGACAAGTGGACGAGTGGATGACATGAGTGGGATCCGACGAATAGGACATCCGACGAATAGGACGTCCGACGAATAGGACGTCCGACGAATAGGACGTCCGACGAAAAGGAGATCCGAGGTATACAGGAGGAGGACCGATGCATAGGACGTCCGACGTATAGGACGTCTGACGTATAGGACGTCCGATGTATATGGGAAACAGGGCAGATCCTGCTGAGGGGTATGTCCGGTGGAGACTGGGATGCGGAGTTATCCTGCCGAGGGGTAGGGATAGGGTTAAGGTATAGCTTGGCTACATTTCGGAGGTCCGGACATTGTTTGTTGGGAGAGATGGGATATGATTCAGGGGCTCAGTGTACGGTATATGACAGTGATGAGGAGAATAGCAACTCACACAAGGGCAAGAAATGCAGGCAATCATTGAGTTTGGTCAAGCCCAAAGTTGCTGAGAAGAAAATCAAAGGTTTTTTTCATCTCAATTTTGTATCACTATTAATATTCTGCAGTTGATATCGAAAACCCACCACTTTCAAGTTCCCCACCCTGCCACCACTTGCGGTAACGATGAGTACCACTTATCCACCCTTATCTCTGTCGCCACAGACTCCCGCACCTACAGAATCTATTTGCAGCTGCCTGTTGTTGGAGCTTCTCCAAGTCCTGAGTTATTGCCACCTCCTGTTACGATAACATACTTCGGACCGGGTCCCCCTAACTCAGTCTTCTGATAGACCTTCCTTGAGCAAGACAGCTCTCGTATACGATTTCACTAAAGACTCTTCGTCTTAGTGTCTTTACTAGATCGATACCATTAAGTCTTGTCTTTGCTTGCCGACTCTTGTCACCAAGCTCTGACCCCAACGATAACGATAACGAAGCTCTGCATTATCTTCGTCTCACGTTGAGACTTAGTACAGAGCTCTTACCTGAGTCTACGCTCTCAGCGTAACAAAAGATTCAAGTTTCCTACCGGCTCCTCATATCTTGAGGGCCAATAGTCAAGACGTCTTCATTCCCACAAGAAGATCCTGATGATGTTGTCCTTACCTCTGAAAGCTCCTCTGAAAGCTCCGACGACATCCCAGTAGAACCCACCCCAAGACAATTCTTTCCTCCTCCTCCACCGAGAGGATTTGTTGTCCCACCTAGAACACCTATTGTTGGACCTCCACCAGCTCTACCCAGACCTTCTACTCCGATTCTACCCAGACCACCGGTACCTCCACCAGCAGGACCATTAACCATGTCAAAAGTCCCTGAACTAAAGATCGGTTCTCCGAAAGATTTCAATGGCAATACATCCCAAGCAACCAGATGGATGTATAGCATCAAAGCATACCATTATGCCAACTCTGACACCTACTCCGACGACAAAAAGAAAATCATTACTGCGCTTGCATACATGAATGGGGGAACTGCCGCACTTTGGGCAGAAACCTTCTATGCAAACGCATACAGCGGAGCGACCCCTTCCTTCGGATCATGGACCGACTTTGAAACAAAGTTCACTACTGCATTCCAATCCATCGACGTCAAAACCGACGCCTTGACCAAGCTCGAAGCTCTCAAGCAGACTGGAGAAATTTCTGAATATATCGCAGAATTTAAACTCCTCACCGCTTTAGCTACGGTTAGAGAGGAAGTCTCCCAGATGTACTTCTTCAAGAGAGGGTTAAAAGATGGATTGAGGAAAGCGGTCCATGGATCCTCCGAAATCCCAAACACCATAGAAAAATGGTACACCGCTGCCACCCAGCAAAGTGCCAATTGGCAAATGGAACAAGCATTCAGGAGTGCGAACAATAGGAACAACAGCCAATCAAAGAAAGGATCTGGGAATCGTTCCAATCAGGGACGAAACAATTCCAGACCCACTTTCCACCATCAACAAGACCCCGATGCAATGTATGTGGATAGAACCTTATCCCCCCAACAGCGTGATGACCATTTCAAGAAAGGTCTTTGCTTCAACTGCTCTCAGCAAGGACATCGCTCGAGGGATTGCCCTGAGAAGAAAACCAAAACTAGAGCCGCAGGAGCGTCTGAAGGAAAAGGGAAAGGAAAGGGAAGGGCTAGAACCCCTGATGATGAAACCAACGAAGAAGATATGGATACCAACCGAGTGGATTTTTAAACAGAGGATCTGTATCAACGTCAGACTCCTCCCTTTACGTGCTGTATACTAAGACTGTAGGACGAAGCAATGAATTTCGTGTCCCAGTGACACTCTTCTCTACAAAAAGCACGAAAACCGTTGAAACCACCACCATTATTGATTCTGGAGCTGGAGGCTCTTTCATTGACAGAGACTTCGTCGTGAAACACAAGATTAACTCACACAAACTCCGAAAACCTTTCCATATCACCACAGTGGATGGAAGTAACTCGAAAGCGGGAATGGTATCCCATTACTGCGTTCTTCCCATCAGGCTTGACAAAAGATGCATGTGGGGAAAATTCAATATCACCCAGCTCTCTGCTCAAGACAACATACTCCTTGGGAAACCTTGGCTTTCCGCTATGAACCCAGACATTGACTGGACGAAGAATACGATATCCCTCTCCTCATCACCCCGATCCAAAATTGTTGAAACCGAAGTCAATCTTGAAAGAAGAAAGAATCACGTAGAACCCTTCTTATTCGAAGCCAAGAAAGCGATTATTGAAAAAGAAGAAACTGGTTCTTTTCACCCTCTCAAAACGCTCTCAAATGAGAAAGAACATTGTATAGAAGAAATCAAGAAGAAGAAGAAGAAGAAGAAGAAATCCAAGAAACCTGAAGAGACCTCTACCGAACTCCCTGACTTCAACGCAATGGAAGATGTATGGGTTGGAAACACCCAATTCCTCCCACACCCTGATAATATTTCCACTTTTCCCTTATCCGATGACAAAGTTTTAATCAAATATGCTGCGGATGGAACCAGTGTTCGACTCATCGAAAACATCACCTTTGACTCTCCCTTAACCCGTGACGGGACCTCCAAGAAAGAAACCTCTACCAGACAAACTCCACTTAGAAACATTTG